TGCAGGACTTGGCATGCCCTGGAGTGTTTATCAACATCGTTTCGCAATAACCATGGCACACAGCCTGGCAGGGACATGCAAGCCGCTTGGGCAACCAGCTCTGCTGAAGCCCATGCTCTTGGGAAACACTTCAGGCTGAGAGTCCAGTGCAGGTTGATATCGTCTGAGTGGCCACCAGCACCTTCTCCTTTCTGGCCTCCTGAGTTCAAGGACAGAGCTGTGAGTTTTGGTCTTGGCCCTCTCTCAGTCCTGCAGAACCCTTCCCTTGGTCTCACCTGGCAGGATTTTAAATGACCTCAACATGCTGGTTCCCACTCACCCAGGGCATGTTGTTCCATCCTCACAGGGGATATGGCTTGGGAAGGGAGTTACCCGACTTCCTCCAAGGGGTTTGGAGGTATCAGCTGGAGCAACAGCATGAATGTGATGACAGCACATCTGGCTGAGGGCTGCCCTGCAGGCATAGACAGCAGCTGCATGATGCCTTAGAGATGTCACAGCAGAGCCAGCCTGTCCCCAGTTAACTCCAGATGTGCACAACTGACACAATCCCTTCCAGCAGGGAAGAAAGCAGGCACATCCTAGACGACACTGGCTGGGCAGGACAGGGGACATGGAGTTGCAATCAGAACAGTCCTGGGAGCCAGCCTGAGCCCTGCGGTTGCGCAGGAGGGCTGGTGACCCGACTCCATGGTGTTGTACATGGCCATGATCAGGGCATGCAGCAGCAGGGTGCCAAGAAGGCGTTTCCTGACACAGCGTCACAGTGTTCTGCTCTGCTGGAGGCCTCGTGGAGCCCAGGAAAATGTCGTAGCTGCTCTTGAAATCTCAAGATGCACCTCAAAGTCCTGCTCAAATGCCAAATGGGTGGCGGGTTTGCGGGGTGGGTATCACTCCCTCAGGGTAAGGATGTAAAGCATGCCCCCTCCCACCACAGCCTTTCAAAAAGCCTAGCAGCTCCTCTTGGCACCAAGGGGATGCAGGGCACAGCCCTTCCCAGAGAAGGTCCCTTACAATGGAACTGGGGGTGCAGGGACCCGGGGAAGGTGGGGTGTTTTTGGAATGCCAGCTTACTCCTGGAGTGTTGCACAGACCTTGCCCCAATTCCAGTGTAGCTGAAGCAGCAGCAGCGAACAGGCTTCGTGCAGGCGCCAAGATGTTTGCTGGAGCAGAGGCACGCATAAACATTTTGTTTAATCAAGGACTCGGAGTGAACACAGTGTACCCTGGCTCCGTGCACAGGGAACAGCTGCGGCCCTGCGGGGCAGGGCCAGGGACACCGATCGGCGGTGGCAGAGCGACCTCCCGTGGCACGGTCCCTTCCGCGGGGTGCTCAGCACCGCCGCTGCGGCCGCAGCCGGAGAAGGGAACCGCATGACACCCGTGTTGCCCGTCCCACCAGCCTGCTCTGAGGAGAGGTTGTCCCCCGGCTGCGGGCGGCTCTGGCTGCTTCCAGGACAGTGTGTCTGGCAGCTGTACGATGCAAGGCTTGGTGTGGCCCAGCACTGCTGCAGCCGTGCCAGAACCGAGGGTGAGCTGGGAGAGCTCTCAGCTGCCCTCCTGGTGAGCCTATGGGTGGTGAACTCATAGCAGTGTTGTATCAAAAGAGACCAAGACCTTGGCAGTGCCAGCTGCTGTGTTCCAAGAGAGGCAGGATGGGACCCCCACCGGGCCCTCCTCGTCCTCCAGGAATGAGGTGTTGAGGCTGGGAACCTGCTGTGCCCCACAAGGCCACTTGACCACAGAGGTCAAGTCAGGTCAAGGTGAGGTCAGAGTGAGATCAGAGCTCTTTCTCTGCAAGCCCCAAGTGTGCAGCATGGGCACCCAACAGTTGCTGATGGGTGCCAGGCCAGCACACAAGAAGACAGCTGAGGGAAACATGGAGCATCCCTCCATGCTGAATCTGGCTAAGGGCGGGCTTGGAGGAACTGCCATCAAATTCAGGAGTTTTTTTCTGGATCAGCGACGAATTAAGCATCTGAGTTGCTGTGTTTAAACCTGAACCTTTAAACATCCTTTCCATCCTTACCCACTTTCCCCCACTCCAGCACTATGCTTCAAAAACTCCAGGTTTCTTTGGAAGCTTTATTTTACGGATAAGATTTAAAGGACTCCTTTCACAAAAAGTAGTGTTATCAGGTTTCTCTCTTCTTTTATTTCCAAATAGGTATTTTTTGTGCACTGGGGACAAGATCCAGAAGAGCTTTGGAGAGCACTATGAAGGCTGCCAGACTGTGGTATTGCCAGTTAGCACAATGCCTCTTCTTCCCACCAGCCTCACGCTTGGCTGCCAAGCCTGTTCCGTGGCTTCCCAGGCAATTAATGGTTACAACATGCATCCATACAGCCAGCAGAACCACTCCAGCTTTCCAGGTGTCCTTGGTAAACTTTTGTGGTTTTTTAAGCCTTTGGTAATAATGAAATGACTGACGATAATGACAATTCCTGGAGTGCAAGACCTGAAAACATGTTTTTCTTCTAAGCAGTTGGTGTACCTTGGTGGGACAGGTCTGAATGGGTGAGCTTCATTCTGTATTTCCAGCACCCATGCTCTTGGCAATCAGATTGGAATTAACTGGCTTCTTAGTGTGCATCCAGGATGGTGTTTGCTCGGTTGGCTGATTCTTGTGACTGAAAAACCTAATCATTTCAATCTTAGGTTTTCAGACCTTAGTGCTTTATTTCTAGAGCACCTTATATCCCCTTTTTTTTCATTTTTCATGGAAACAAAATTCCACTGGGCTATCATGAGCTCTGGCAGCTGTTCTTTTTGCTCATCTCCCAGGAAGCTCATCAGCTTGACCTAATGGAGGAGCAGCCTGAGCTGCTATCTGGGACAGAGCTGGTGTGCAGCAGGAAGAGCTGGGACAAAGTGAGCTCACAGATCACCAAAGCAGCAGCTGATCCAGTATGAATTTCAAAGTTCTGTTCTTGAAATGTTAAAATACAAAGATTAAGGAAAACACTTCCCAAGGCAAACAAAACTCCAGAGCTTAGGGAAGGTCTCTGCAGAGCAGCAACAGAAGCAGAGACCCAGGACAGAAATGTTTTGGTTTGTACCCGTCTCTACCAACATTTGGGCAGGATTTGAAGGGGCAAAACCAGCAAATCCATCAAGAGAATGAGAGCAAAAACTGACAAAGGCAGTGCTGGGATTACATTGAGAAGGGTAGTTCAGAGGAGTGTTACTATTTCAGCTCTGGAAGACTGAAGACAGAATGCCTGACTTACACCTGAGTTCTGAGGGAGCCCTTATCATCCCCATCTCCAGGCCAGCAAAACCAAAGATGCAACCACCAACGCTGCCAGAACATTTACCCAGACAGACTTGGCTTGTCCTGCCTTACAGCTGCTCCTCAGGAGGTGACTCAGGGGCTCTGAGTTGTGATTGCAGACACAGATGTGAGGAAAGGTTTGGACCTGTGCACAAACCTGCTGCAACCCTCCTGCAACTGCGTGTGGGTTCTTAGAATCATGGAGGAAAAGGCAAAGGCTACCTAAGGGCCTGGATAAGGCCATCGGCATTCCAGCAATGAGCAAGTAATGGAAAAAGCAGCTGTTATCCATCCATGCACTGTCAGCCACCAAGCACAGCACTGCTAGTACATGCCCCCAAGCTGGCTGGTGTCTGCAGTCAGGAACAATCTCCTAAGGGAAATGCAGACATCAGGGGATTAAAATTAGTGGGGGACAAGATTTCTCCTTATCTTTGGGGAAGCACAGGACACCCCAGCCTTCTACACCTGGAGGGGCCTTCCTGAGCCTCTTGGGGGTACTTGGTAATCAAACCCAGGTGGACAGAGCAGCTATCTGCTTTTTCAGGGCACAGGAAACACCAAGCAGGAAAGCAGCTTCCACTTCCTCTCCCTCTCCTCACCCTCACCCTGTCTCCTCTCCCTCTCCTCACCCTCACCCTGTCTCCTCTCCCTCTCCCTCTCCTCTCCCTTTGCATTTAGCAGGGGGAAAAGAAGTCTATTTAATAAGATTGTGAAAAAAGAACTATGATCAAGATAACTTCAAAGTCAGCTTAGGTTTTAGGGGACAGAGGTTGGCCAATGCCCTTCTAGGGTGTGTGTGCTGCAGATTGTTCTTTAAATGCTGATATGTTGACTTTGCGGTCATAAAAGATTTTCCCTTTGTAGCCTTGCTTTGTGCTGATAATTCAATTGCCAACTATGTGGAAGGGAAAATATGCAGTGAGGCCCACTCACATGCTGCTTAAATCCTTGCTTTAAAAGTCATTATTTTTCCCCCAGCATTACCAATTCTTTTGCCCTGAGGGTTGAGGATTATGCAGTGGTCTTCCAGTTTCCATAATCGAGCACTTGAACAACTCAGAACATGTTTAAAAGTAAGTGTGATAATAATGGATCTTGTAAGAGGAAAGCTTGAGAATGAGGCTCAGTGTTTATAATGGAAAAGAATATTGTAATTAGATGTGTACCTTAAACTGATCGTTGTTAGGTAGGTAACACCCAACAGAGCCTTCGTATGCACAGCCTGACCCCGAGGACAGGCTTTTGGATGGGGACGAGCAACCTCTGCAGCAAAGGGAAGCGTCTCCTTCACAGCCCAGCACGGGACGTTCCAGCGGGCAGCCCAGGGCCATTGTGGCTGCTGGGCTCAGCCCTGGCGCCTCAGGCTGCCGCCGCACCTGTCCAGGTAAGGCTGTCAGTGCAGCCCCTGCCCAGGGCGCGTTTCACTAACGCGCACACGCCGCACGTCGGGAGCGCCGCTGTCACCTCGCGCGCCCGACCCGTTGCCTTTGTCCCGAAGCAGAGGAGCGGGCCGGCCCGGGGCGAGCAGAGCGGAGATAAGCCCCGCGTAGCGAGACAGAACGCGGGCAAGACTACGCGTGCCACCCTCCCCCGCGGGCAGCGCTCGCGATCCCGGCGCGGTCCCCTGGCAGGCACGGGGCCCGGGCAGGCCGCGGCGGGACGGTCGCCACGGCAACGCGGGCCGTGCGTCGCCCTGACGTCACTTCCGCGCAGGGCGGAGCATCGCGTGCAGTACCAGCATGGCGCTGTCGCGCGCGGAGCGCTGCCTCGCGCTGCTGCTGCGGCTGCTGTCGCGCGCCTGTCTCGCGCTGCTTGCGCTGCTGCCGCCGCCGCGCGCCGGGCCCGCGGGTGCCGCTCCGCGTGCCGTCCCTCCGCCGCGGCGCGCGCTCCTGCTGCTGTCCGCGCGACGCCTCGCGGCGCTGCTCCGCGCGCGGCAGGTACCCCCCGCGGCCCGGGGCCAGGGGAGCGGCGCCACAGCGGCTGTCCCGGTGTGGCCGCGCAGCGCCAGCGCCTGACCGCGGTTCCCGCTCTGCCCCTTCCCAGGTGACCTGCATCGAGGTGGTGGAGGCGTACGTGGAGAGGATTAAGGAGGTGAATCCCCTCATCAACGCTGTGGTTAAGGACAGGTGAGCTGTGGTCAGAGGGCACGGTCGAGGAGACGGTGGCTCCCCGCCTGCTTCTCTTGGGCACCAGGCCAGGCCGCCGCACCACGTCAGGGGCACGGGGACCCCTGCGCCGCCACCGTAGCGGCGCCGTTCTGAGCGCCTGGCGGCGGCTTGGCCGGGATGCCGCTCCTGGCTCTGGCAAAGACCAGGCAGCCTCGCCTTCCCTCACAAGCTCCTGCCGCATTGGGGGTCTACGCGCCCTGCGGGGACCCCCACACCTCATTAATTCAATGCCAGAACATTGCCAGGTGCCTTGTTGCAGGTTTGAGGAGGCACTGCAAGAAGCCCGGCAGGTCGATAAGCTGCTTTCGGAGGGCCCTGGTGATGACTACCTGGAGGAAAAGTTCCCCTTGTTGGGAGTTCCCATCACTGTCAAGGAGGCATTTTCTCTCTACGGTGCGTTTATCTTCGTGCCTTTCCACTTCACAGGTTGTGATTTACTGCCTCTTGGCCAAGTGCTCCCCAGAGTGGTGGGTGGCTGTGGCAGGTGCTTGGAGGGAGGTAGTTTCCCTTTCCCTGGTTTGCACCAAAATCTGCCCGGATTTCTGTGTTTGTGTTCATTTGTAGCACACAGGTGCTGCAGAGCTTGTGGTGCCTTAGAGGAGCAGTCCTTGCTGGGAACCTGCTTCCTGCAGCCCTGGATCATCTCAGGGCATTGTCCCTGATGCTGTTTTCCTGTCAACCTTGGCACCACAGGAATGCCCAACACCTCTGGCTTGGTCAATCGCCGCAACGTGATCGCCACTTCGGATGCCACAGTGGTGTCACGGCTGAAGCAGGCAGGTGCCATCCCACTGGGTGTCACCAACTGCAGCGAGCTCTGCATGTGGTACGAGTCCAGCAACAGGATCTACGGGCGGACCAACAACCCCTACGACCTGCAGAGGATTGTAGGCGGCAGCTCAGGTGAACCCCAGCACCTCGGCACAGTCCTGCATGAGTGGCAGGTTAAAATGCAGCAGGGGAAGACTTCCAAGTCTCTGCACACAGCTGTTGATATAGCCCTGCAAAGCTTACAGGCCTCTTTCCTGGGCACTGCTGTAGGCTATTGGGAGGTCCAGCTGCGCTGCCCTTTCTGAGTGTTTCACTGGCATTGCTTCAGTTTGCTCTGTCATACTTTGGCAGGAAAATCCTTTTGGCCTACATCCCCCAGCTGTTCCCCAACCATCACTGAAGCCAGGGTGCCCCCCACCTCTGCTGCTTTTTAAGCCCCCACCTTCACTGTGAAGTGCTCCTGCTTTGCTGGATGATTTGCACCATAACCTGTGGGGTTTTGCCATATTTTCTTCCATGCAGGTGGGGAGGGCAGTGTCCTGGCAGCTGCCTGTTCAGTCATAGGTGTGGGCTCTGACATTGGCGGCAGCATCCGGATGCCTGCCTTCTTCAATGGAGTCTTTGGCCATAAACCCACAACAGGTAAGGCAGGTGTGGGGGTCTCCTCCTCCTCCCTGCCTGCAAAAATGCCATGAGGTGGAATAGGGGCTGTGGGATGAACCCATTCAGGACACCCCTGTGCTGGTGGGATTGCTGTGAGGAGCCAGGTAACTCCTTGCATGGGACAAACTTGTTGAGGGAGCTCTGCTGGGCTTGGCAGTAGGAAGCTTTTGGTGGCAGAATGCCAGGCACATGGGACATGGCAGGGAGTTTATCCAAGTATTGCATCCTCAGCGTGGGATGTTTTCACAGGGTTGGGATCTGTTGGGGTGTTTCTCTGTTCTTCAGTGTCCTGACTGGATGCTTTTCCTCTCTTCCCCACCCTGTGCACATTGCCAGCACTTGTCGAGTGTGCAATCCCTGGGGAACCATGTCCCCCTGCACCCAAAGACCCCCAGCAGGGCTACCCCCATCTGGAGGCAATACTCGGGGTGGTAGCAGATGTCTCTGCTTCCAGGGGTGGTGCCCAACGACGGCCAGTTTCCAAACGCTCACGGAGTGCGCACCAGCTACCTGTGCACGGGGCCCATGTGCCGCTACGCGGAGGACCTGGAGCCTGTGTTGAGAATCATGGCTGGTTCCGGGGTCAGCAAGTGAGTTGGTCCCACTGCTTCCAGCTACCGAGCTGGAGTCAGCAGCTCTCCCATCCGCATAGAGTATCAGTCCTTTGTACGAGACAGATCTGAACCCCTGACGAGAGAGATGAGGATTTTCCCAACAGAAACTTTCTGGGACTGACGGGGCGGATGAGCAGCTGGATGGGTTGTGTGTCTTCAAGGTCCCACCTTCCCACCCTTGGGGACAAAGCAGTGTCTCCTGACAACACATAACACTCTGCAGCTGCAGAGGAGCCAGGGATGGATTTCTGATGAAGCACCATTTCTTTCCCAGGCTGAAACTGAATGAGAAAGTGTCACTGGAGAAAATCAAATTCCACTGCATGGATCATGATGGCGGGTCTGTTTTTGTGTCACCTGTGGACAAGGAGATCTTGCAAGCCCAAAAGAAGGTAGGAAGCAGCAGAGTGTGGTATTCACTGGGGTGAGCCTGAAGATAGAACCTGAGGAAACCAGTCAAAGGAGCCCTAGGGAGGGGTTAGCGCTGTTCTGTGTGTGGCTTCTGCAGGGACTGGCAGGATAGAGGGCTGGGAAGGCAGCTTTGCATCCCAGTCCCATGCTTTCAAGGGTTAAAAAGTGGAAAGAAATTCTTCTGCACTAAAGAAACAACAAGGGCAAGATCTTGCGAGTAGGTCCCTTTACCCCCTTCTCCGTAGTTTCCATGGGCTGATGGCAGTGCATCACATCCTTGTGGAAGCAAACCCATCGTTGCTCTTCCCTTCAGGTGGTGGAGCACCTTGAAAGTGACCTCGGGGTCCGAGTTCAGCGTGTGGCACTCCACAAGATGAAGTATTCTTTCCAGATCTGGTCAGCCATGATGTCATCCAAGGACAGCGAAGGGCAGGTATGTCAGAGTGAGCTGGCAAAGGCACAACTTCAGTGGCGGTAGGGAAGAATCAGCTGTTCATGGCCAGCTGTGGAGAATTGTAGGCTTCCCAAAGATTCCCAGGGGCTTTCTCTGCTCCATTTGCTTCCCCAATCCTCCTGTCACCTCTTCCTAAAGCTGCACAGCCCGTTCTCCCTTGCTGTCCTGTGGGATGAAGCCATACTCCTCATGCAGAGGAGCAATGTGGTAATAGGGAGGGGGAGGTTGTTTTGGCAACCTCCTTTTTGATCTTTTCCATGCAGGTTGGTAAGTCAGGCAAACAGGGGGCATCCTGCCTTGCTCTTTGCCCCATGCTGTGTCTTCTTACTTGTAGGCTGGGATTAATGTCCTATGGGATGCCAGGACAGGCAGGGGACTAGTAGCTTTCCAGCAGGAGGCCTGCCCGTGTTATTTTTCCCTGGAATTGCAGCCACTGTACTATGTTCTGTGCATGCGGGAAAGTATTTTGTAATAAAATTAACTTCTGGGAGTGTTGTACCCTTGTGCATTCCTGGCACAGAGGCAGTGATGAAACACCCCACCTCCACTAAGGAAGGTATGTCTGGCTCCTCTGCCTCCTTCCTGGTCCAGTGGTCATATCACAGGAGGAAATGCTTCTGGGACATTATCCCTTGCATCATGTCAGTGGGTGCTGCTCTGGGGGGCTCTCCCTTCTCCTTCTTGCTGATTCTGGCAGGGAAAGGTATTCATGCTGCTGTCCTGGATCAGTGTCAGAGCTGTGGAGCGCTCCTGATGGGCATCTCCTGTGTGAGAGTGGGAACGCCTCACATTGGGATAATGGGACAGCTGGAATTTCACTGTCCTGTGCCAGCCTGTGCCTCCCTGCCTCATGTTGGCTGTGCTGATGTAAGGAGTGGGTGTGTTACAGGAGGCACAAAGATTCTCAGACCTGCTGGGGGACCACGGGAAGCCAGTGTGGCCGCTGTGGGAGCTGATGAAGTGGCTCGTGGGGATGTCTTCTCACACTCTCCCAGCTATCGGTAATGCTGGGAGGGGCCCCGGGAAATACAGAGGCAGTGGTGGGGTGGGCAAATTGTGAAGTATAGGTAATACCCTTCAAATGTCCGGTGAAGGAACTTGGGGTTTGCCCTGAGCAGCCTAGTGTCTTTGAGTTGCATGTAAGCTCAAGAGAGCTGGTTGGATCTTTGATCAATGGGAGTGGGTGTCCTGGGAGAAGAAATGAGGTTGATGGAGCTGAGGGCAGGGCTCGCTCGTGCTTGAGCCCTGCCAGAACTGCTAGGGGCTGAGAGGGGGCAGTCACGGTCTGCACTAATCTTGTTTCATAGCAGCAGGTAGTAGAGAACCCTAATTAGTGCTATCGTGCTGCTGTTTAATGAACGCTGGGGTCGCTCTGCTAGCTCTGCTCTACCCCACTTGCTGGAAAAGCTGGAAGGAAGGGGCAGGCTCTGCCTTTCCCTTGGCAGAGCTGAGGGGATGCCACTCACAAAGCTGTGCTAGGGGCAATCTCCTGTGGATACAGGCAGGGAGGGGTACTTGGAGGGCCACTCTAGAAGCAGGGGATGCTGCATGTGGCTGGGCAATGTTATTCTGTGGGCCCCACATAGCCCACAGTCCTCTCACTTGCTCTTGTCCCCATTTCTGCCTTTTGCTACAGCCCTGGGGCTGACAGAGAAGCTGGTGAACCTCAACCTCAGTGGGAAGGCCAAGCTGGTGAGCATGGGGAAGAGCCTACAGGAGGAGATGGAGGCACTGCTGGGGCCTGACGGGGTGCTCCTCTACCCTTCGCACCCCACCATCGCTCCCAAGCACCACTCCCCTATCTGCATGCCCTTTAACTTTGCCTACACAGGTGAGCAGCTCCGGCTCCTGTGGAGTTGCAGGTAGGGCTGGAGGGATGGCCTTACCCATGGCAGCAGTGTGGGCTGGCAGCCAGGGTATTGTACCCAGAGTTCACGTTGCTGACAGTGGGCTGTGCAGCAAAGGGAGGGTTCTTGCTGCTCTAAAGAGTGGGGTGAGGGTTGTCATGCTTCATGCTATGTGGCATCTTTTACCTTTTGCTGAAGGTGTCTGTCCAGAGCAGGGCAGGTCTGACTTGTGTGATACCAGGGGCCTCCATGCCCCAGAGGTGTTACAGCTGCTGCCATTAGCAGGAACCTGAGAGCTGCCATCTCTTGGGTAGAGCCTGGGGTTCTCTCTGTGGTTCCCATGCGGCCTGAACACCTCAGTGCCAGTGTCAGTGCTGCCTGGCTTTGGAGTCATAAAGGGCTGGTTCCTGTGGCAGGAATGTCCCAAACTTGGCATGCCACAGTGTGATGTGGGCACTGGGGATCTCTGACCAGTGATATCCCTTTTCACCATGTCTCTTTACTGCAACATGGAGATTTAGCTCCCAGGATCTTGGCGTTGTGTGTGGCAGCAGCTGCTTGTCCGGGGTGGGCAAGCCAGGCAGTGATGTGTCGCTGTGCTCACTCTGCTCCAACCTTCTCTCTTGCAGCCATCTTCAATGTCCTGGGCCTGCCTGTGACACAGTGCCCGCTGGGTCTGGGCAGTGAGGGACTGCCACTGGGTATCCAGCTGGTAGCAGCTGCCTACAATGACCACTTGACACTGGCAGTGGCCCGGTACCTGGAGAAGGCCTTCGGAGGATGGGTGTTACCCGGGAAAGTTTAGCCTTAGGAGGCACAGACAGAGGCGGTGGCAGGCGCTGATGCTTGATCCCATCATGGTACTGCCTGCTCCCTCGACGTCCTCCTGTGCCCTCCTGGGAGTGGCTGGTGGGGACAGCCAGGCTGTTGCCACTGGAGTCCTCATCCCTGTGGCACCTTTTTTCAGGGAGAGACCTGCCCTTCCCGAACCCCTTAGGCACCCCAGTGCCACAGTCTGAGGATATCCTGCCTGCGTCCTGCCTGCAGTGGACACACAGCTTTTCCAGACCATGGAGATGGACAGCTCTGTAACCCTTCTGCTTTCAAAACACTGAGAGTTGGGCAGAGCACATGCTTCCAGAATGCAGGAGGCAGCTGTGCAGCACCTCTCAGGGCCGCCTGAGCACATGGGGGTCTCCTTGGCCTGACCCTACCCCCCGGGCTGGACTGTGCCTGCTGCACCCAGGCCTGCCGGCCCCTACAGGGTTCTGCTCCTGCTCCTGCAGGGTTGCCCCCACCCTCTGACCAAAAAAAGGAAGAGGGGTTGAGGGGTCTGATGTAGGCCTGAGTCACCAGCAGTGCTTTGTGCGGTGGTGGGTGCTGGTCTCTGCCATGTATGCAGCTGTCAGGAGAAACTGCTGTTGCTCTGAGAGCATTTGTAGCAGTGACTAAAGCATCCACTGTCTTCCCCTTCTCTCTGGGGGGATCATCGTGCCTGACTGGCATCCCCTGCCACCTGTCCTGCTGAGCTGCCTGGTCTCTTCCCCAGGAGTGGATGTGGGCAGCAAGCACAAGATGTTCTTATTGAGGGAAATATTAAAGAGCCTATCCAGTCTGTTGGGGCTGTGTTTCCTTGTTCCTTATGGTTGTCACCCTGCCAGCTCTCTCCTCAGGATGGGTCAGGGCTGCCCAGCACTGCTGGCTATTTGAGTGGTGCAGGGACAGCAGTGGAGGTGTTGGCACTTGGCCACTCCAGGGCTCTTTTGGAATGCCCAGGCTGACAATGACTGCTGGGCACCTGGCAGAGCTGAAGGGTGCTTACGAGCCCCACATGTTGCCAGCAGTGGCTCTGTTAGTCTTGTAATGATAGCACAGCTCTTGGGAAGCACAAGTTCAGCTTTGTTTTGTCCCAGTGGGGCTGCCAAAGGCCCGGAGCTCTTGAAGTGATCCGGAGCCCCTGGTGGTCTCCAGGACAAAACGAAGGGCTACGGTCCTGTGTGCCCAGCGCGGGTCTTGGCAAGGATAAAACCTTCTGGTATTGTTTTTGCTGGGATGGCCTAGCCTGTGTCTGCCCTGCTGCATGTCACCCGTGGCCTGATCACTGTGCTCCACTCTGTCCCCATGCCACTGATGGTCCCTGTAGGGGTAGCGCAGGATGCTGCAATGGGGTGCTGTGATGGGCTGTGCCTCAATTCTGGTGTGCAGAGGGCACTGCTGAGCACCCGCACCCTGCTGGGACATTGCTAAGAAGGAAGCAAGGAAGGCAAAAAAAACAAACCTTGGCTCAGAAAAAGAGGCACAAACCACCCAAGTCAAATCACGTCTCTCAGCGTGGTAGCACAAATAACACGGACCTGTCCCCGCTCTGGAGGAAGCCGGGCAGCTGAGCAGACCTTGGTAATGCTTCCAGTGAACGCTCGGACCCAAACATGCGGTTGCTGACCTGAGGGTGTTGCATTTAACAGAGCATGGTGGGCGAGGGACAGAGAGAAAACACTGGATCAAGGTAGGGGGTAGTGCTGGTGCTTCAGGGTCGTGTGATGGGGAGTAGAGGATTTGTAGAGAAGAGGGAGCTAATTCCCACAATCTCAGTTACTGCCACAACACAAGGAGGGTTACTGGAATTCTCCCTCTGGCTGTGGCAGAAGAGGAATGGATGTGCTGGGGTTCAGAAGGTGACTGGCAGGGACTGGCCTGCAGTCACCCTCACTGCTGTAGGGAAGCATTGGTCCCCGTGGGCTGCCTTCTGTGGTGAGAGCAGCCTTCTCTCTGCCTGTGCAGGCAGCCAGTCCCATGGTTTCCATCAGTTTCTCAGCTCTATGCCTCCACAAGCTCCAGGAACAGTCCTGGAGGCTCTTCCACCCTCCAGGCAGAAAGGCTGCTGCCTTCCACAGGCTCTGTTGCAAAGCCAGGGGGGGTTCTTGCTGGCGTCAGGGTGGGAGGAATCCCTAGACCTGCTGCCTGCACTTTGGGTCTGGTATTTTGGGGGTCTCACCTCAGCCGTCGCGCACAGTTTACAGCTGCACGTCCCTGCTTGTTGACTGTTCGTCCTTGATTGAAGCTCTTAATGCTGCAAGGGATAGAAATGTTTTGTACTCCCATGCCAAGTTGGTTGCACTTGTAACGTTAGCAGAGTCAGTGTGAAATGGGAAGAGTGCAAGGCAGTGGCGGTGGTGAGCCAGCCCCACGGGTGACCTGTCTGGCCAGGGGTGCTCCCACCCCTCTGCCTCTGGAGGTGGCCCGGGGCTCCCCATCTTCATGGAAGGATGTGTCCCCACAACCAGAAGGTTGGCATTGGTGGCCTCAAAGCCCTTGCATGTATGCTGGGGGAGAGGAAGGTTACCTGACAAGAGCAGGGAAAGATTCCTGGTAGCTGAGCAGTGGGGCCAGGCCAAGGAAAGGAGGGACTGGCCAAGTGTCATATGCAGGTGCCCAGTGGGACCAGCCTCTGCTGTGGGTCACAGTCTGAGGTTTCTGCTTACAGCCCAAGAGGTTCCCTTGTTGGGCCCCATTTTGCCTTGTGGGCGCTGTCACTCACAGTGCCCTCCCAGTTCCATCGAGGCTGTGGGAGGGCTGGGGCTGTCCTGACAGTGGTGCAACTGGTTGTGCCAGTGTGAGTCATGCCCAGAGCTGGGCTGAGTCACCTCCCCAGTGGTGTGAGCATCAGGTGAGAAGCTTTCTCAGACCCACATTCCGGTGACACAGGCAGCATGGCTTCTCACCACGGGGTACCAGAGGTGGGTGCAACAGAAGGTCCCTGCAGCACATGCACAGTGCCATAGCAGAGTGTGGCAGCTGATCACTGTCCCTGCAGGTTCACTTGTCACTACAGCCCTGAAGGCACCTGCCCTGCTGCATGCCCAGGGTGCAGCAGAAGGTCTTCTGCCCCTCAACAGTGGGCACCTCTGTGCTACGATAGGCATGTGGACTCCATGGGACAGTGTCACTGGCTGAAACTTCTAGGAATAATACCTGTTTCTAATCCCAGGTGCCAGCAGCCCGTCATGTCTGTGGGTAGCGGAAGAGCTCCAGCACACCTGTCCCTTGCCATGGCCCCCAGCATGGCAGTATAGTGTGGGGGCAGATGGATGGACTATGGGAGGATGAGTCCTGCCCTGCACCTGCTGCTGTCCCTGGCCAGCTGCTCCCTGCTGCAGGGTAAGCCACTGCTGAAGCTGTAACCACAGTCTGGAGGGGTCCTGGCTGCAGGGTGGGGGGAGGCACAGAGACACCTATGAGACCTACTGAAGAGGAGGAGCCCAAATAATCTTCAGGGTGTGATGGGAAAGAAAACACCAGGATCAGCAACAGATGCGACAGTCTTTGCTGGTGCGTCAGCTGTGTCGCTTACTTTGACAGAAGTATGGAGAGGGTGTTCTCAGTGTCCGAGGGACTGGGAAGATGCAGGTGCTCAGTGAAAAACACTTTGAAGTGAGTGTTTGCCCATGCTGGGCTGAAGCTGGGAAAGCTGTGCAGCATGGCTACAGGGAACGCTGCAGGACACGGCCTGATGCCCCTCTGCTCCCTCCCCAGGGACACTACTGCGGCCACAGCACGTGAGGCTGGAGGCACAGAACTTCCATGTCTCACTGCGCTGGGAGCCAGACCCCAGCTCACCCAGCTATGCCACGTACGAGGTGGAGTGGAGAAACAGGTAGGTGGGGAGAAGGGGATGAAGGGGACTGGTCCTCCTACACCCTGGCAGAGGCTGTTGGGGACCCCTGGCAGCCAGAAGACTGCTGTCTGGCAGAGTAACAGAGCAGTGGAGTTGGCAGGGATTGGCTTCCCATCCCTGCACATGTAAGGTCAGCTCAGGACTGTCACTAGGTCATGGTGGGTTTTGAACAACTTCAGGACAACCTCCCTGGACAGCTTGGTCCCTTTCCTGGTCACTCTCCCAGTAACAAACTAAGGGGTTACTTTTGGGCTGGGGTTTTGGATTTGGTTTTGTTTTTTTTTTCCATTATGCTGAATGGGATTTCCTGCATTTTAAACTGTGTCTGCTACCTCTTGTCTTTTCACTGGGCACCACTGAGAGGAAGGCTCTATCTTCTTTTCTTAGACCCACCCAAAGTCACATTTCTCTGAGGCTCAGCAGTCACCCACGACTCACTCAGTTTCCCTTGTACTACAGAGCCTCAACAGCCTCAGCCCCCTGGTGTACTCTCTCTGCCATCCTGTGTGTTTTCTCATCGTGGAGAGCACAGGTCAGGGTGCAGTGCCAGGTGCCATCTGTCCCCCGGAGGCAAGCAAACTTGCTGGTGATACTCTCCTCACACATCCTGGGATGCTGTTGGCTGATACATGGGCTTTCCTATGCTTTCCACCTGAGCAGGATGGCGGTGGCTGGGCAGCCCTCCCTTTGGGCTGGGAAGTTGCTGAAAAGAGGCAATCCCTGTGCTTTCTCCCTGGGCAGAGCCTCAAACTGGACAAAGGCAGGTGCCTGCAGGGGGAACAGCAGAAGCTCCTGGGTGTGTGAGCTGTATTTTGACAGGATTCACGATATCTACTGGGCACGGGTGAGAGCGGTGGCCGGAGGTGACCAGTCTGAGTGGGCCAGTTCCAGCGAGCTGCAGCTGTACAGAGACAGTAAGGACCAGGGAGCTCCTTCAGGTGGGCTCTTTCTGGGGGGGACAATGGGGAGAGGGGTCCTTGGAGAGATCTGGTGGGATACAGTGGGAAACCATATGAAGATACTGGGGGAAAAAGAGCCAAGAGCCAGAGGAAAGGGACAGGTCAGAGCTGCTGGAGGAGGGCTGGGTGAAGAGCAAAAGGACAGAGGAGACACAGTGAAGTGAGGCTCATGGATAGGAGGCCCCAGTCTAACAAGGCACTGTGAGAATTTGGGTCTCTGGGGAACGCATTGAGATGAGGCAGGAAAGAGGATACGCCTCTTGGTTTGAAGGCTCACCTCCCTCCTGTCATGGTCTGGGAGTTACTGCCCCAGCAAGATGAAGCTGGCGCAGGCAGATAGAGGGCAGGGGCAGACCCTCTGCTCTGTGGCATGTTTTCACACTGGCTGTTCTGTCCAAAAAGCCTGTTGGTCTCTTGGAGCTGGAAATTTTCAGGACCCTCCCCTGACCACCATCACAGGGGTTGTTGAAATAAACTGAATATGTGAGCAGCAAAATGGGTTGTACATTGGCAGTTAGTGTTCCCTTGTTTATTCCCTCTGCATCCAGCTGGCATGGAATTGGTTGCATTCAGTTAGGAAATGATTGCTGGCCTTGGCATTGGGTCTCCGGGCCCTGTTGGATGGCTCGGGGTGAAGGTCTCAGCAGCAGGAACCAGTGGTGCTGCAGGTCTGTCTGTGAAGAGGAGGCAGAAGCAGTGCTGGCTGTCATGAAGACATGGTGGTTGCCATCTCGTTGAGCTGATTTCAGAGCACAAAGTGCCAGGCAGGACCTGAGGAGCTTCTGTGCTCTGGGAGGGGAATGTCAGACAGAAAAATATAATTTCTGGAGAGGCAAGATGCCTGCCTTCCTTTGAAGGCTTTAATTTTCTAATTTTTTTCCCTCCCTGCAGCAATTGTTGGCCCCCCCAAGTTGTCCTGGCTGCTCCAGGATGAAATCCTCAGTGTAAACATCATCACGCCACCCACTCCCTACCGGAGAAGGACTGGTTCCTACAAGCCAGTTGATCAGGTGCTGTTGAAGCTGTGGTATTGGCTGCATCTGTACGAGGGGGACCTGCTTGTCCAGCAGGTGCGTGGTAGCTGGGCAGGGCCCAGAGGTGCAGGGCTTGCACAGGCTTTACAAAGCCACCGTCTCAGGCTGCAGTGGTGTGGGGGTGCCTGTGCTAGAGCTCTGCCCACACCTGGCTGTGCATGCAGGTGGGAGGTGCCCTGCACTTGCAGTCCAGGGCTCCCATCTCAGCCAGGCAGGAGACCCCTTCCCTCCCCTAGACTGCATGGGTAATTCTGCATGGACTGGTTCTGTTCAGATGAAGGTGACGCCACAGTTGTTTCTAGGGCCTGAACACCTCCTGGGACAAAGAACTGGGTGTTGGAAGTGCATGGGAGGAGGGACCATGGGGCAAGTGGGATGTTGAGGCTGCACCGAGCAGTGGAGCCATGCACAAACCCCACCTTCAGCCCTCCCATCTGCTTTCAGGTGCCCTGCAAACGGAGCAGCGAGGAAGCACCTTGCACCTTTGGGCACCTGAGGCCCAGCACACAGTACTGTGTCCGGACAGTGGCTGCAGACATGGCCAGGGAGCGGAGCCGGGAGGCTGAGCAGTGCCTGGTGACTCCAGCAGGCCCTGCAGGTGAGAGGTCTCTCACCAGCTCAGCTGGCACAGTTGCATCTTGGATCATGCTCACAGCACAGATTTGGGTGGAGGTGTGGGTCCCTCACCCCCAGCCACTCTGGTCAGGGCTGTGGCCCAGTGCTGCCCAGTGGGAGCCTCTCAGGGCAATGCTTGCACATCATCTGCCTTGGGCTTGCCTCCTGAAACATCCCAGCCTGACATGAATGGGAAATGCCAATTGAGGGTGGGCTGGGACGAATGTGCTGGAGTCACCCCTCAGCCTGCCATGACCTCCCAGCAGGTTTTCCGTGGGTCCTTGCCATGCTGAGTGCCTTCTTTCTGCTGTTGCTACTGAGTGTGGCTGGGCTCTGCTTCATCCAGTTGCATGTCTTCCCCAGCCCGCCGGAGACATGCCTCCCAAAAGCACTGGTGAGTGACTATCCTCCAGCCTCTGTCTTGTGTGTAGCCATAGCCAAGCCAGGATTCCCTGCATTTGCAGGGGCTCAGCACCTCCTTTCCTCCAACTCTCACAACACCAAGCCCATCTCAGTGCCTCCCCTGCTGTCTGAACCACTGTCCCCCAAAGGAAAAGGTGCTGGTGGAGGGCATCGGCCAGCCATGGGTCACAGCAGAGCATGGGGTCTCAGGCAGTGAAGCCCTTAGTGTTCAGCAATTTATTACCCCCAAGCTGGCAGGGCTTTAGCCAGCTGAAGCTGACTGTGTCACTGCTTGTGTCCTCACAGGCTCTCCAGAGCAGCGAGCCAAATGTGGCCTTATGGGTGTCTCCCCTCGAGCTGGAAGAGCACCCACTTGTCCTACTCCTGCAGACTGTGCTTCTCTCCCACGGGCCATCCACAGATGGGCAGGCATCAGCCACGGTCCCACAGCTCCTCCGAGGCCTTGCCCAGGATGTGAGGGGCTACTGTGCCAATGGGTTTGGCCCAGACTGCCCTGAGGGAAGGGACCCATCATGCACCCACAGCCAGCTGGGACATGCCTTGGATTCCCAGGTCCCATCACAGCTGGAGAAGGATGGGGAGGCAGGTGATGGGGATGATGTGCCAGAGCAGCTGGTGCCAGTGGGACTGGCTGGAAGCCGCTACATAGGTGACAGGGACAGCCAGGTACCTGAGATATGGCTCCCCCTGCACCTTCAGCTTTATTCTAAATGCCAGTGTCCAGCCCTGGGAGCAGACAGCCACCTTCCTCTGCCCGTGCTGAGCAGAAGCTGCAGCCAGGAGTACCTGCAGAAGAGTCTCGACACGGATGGGTGCTGGGTCCAGCTCAGCTCTGTGAAGCTCCCAGCCAGTGTGGAGGAGGGAGGGCAGCTCCTCTGTGCTCCCCAACCCCTGCTCGGTGGCAGAACCGAGCCACAGCCAAGTGACAGCGCCGTGCAGCGAGACTACTCGGAGCAGGCAGAGCTGGGTGTCCCCAGCCCCTGCCAGCTGCCCCCCTCGCCCCTCAGCGTCCTGCAGGCAGCTGCCTTCTCCGGCTACGAGCCACGGCCCCATCTCGCAGTGAGCCATAGCGAGCGGGGGCACCCTGGCAGCCTCCAGCTCCCAGCAGAGCCCAAGGTGCCTCCCCGGCCCTGACGGCTGCCTGTCCCAACCTGTTGGTGCCAGGCTCGGGATGGGACTGGGGCAGGCTCCCACAGGCAGGCAGAGGCATATTCCACGCATGGCCGCCAAGGATGGGCGGAATCCAGAACTTTCCTCTGGGGGTTTGGTGCTCTTGAGCCAAAGCAAAAGGAGCATGGACCAAAGCTGAACCAAAAAAACTTTTACCTATTTATCTGTGTGTATGTGTGATACAGTATCTATATTAATGCAAATTTATGTAATGTTCATATATACATATATATTTATAAAGGTCTTTAATGGAAGAATATTGGGAGTTTTTATTTCTGTGGAAATGTTGATTGTGTGCTGGAGCTGCTTTTAAATATCACTAATTTATTATAGAAGATTGGCTCCTCTACTCATTGTTTCTGTGTTACAGACTCAGCACTGCCCTTCCCTGTACAGCAGTCGGGAAAGGCACTGGGTAAACTTGGGATTTTCCTGATAGAAAATTGGACCCACAATCTCTGTCTTGCTGTCTTGTGGGAAACATCTGGTTTTCAGCACCGTGGGACACATTTATCATTCCTGCTGCCAGCACTGGGGCGATTTATGGCTGAGAAGCCCTGCCCTGTGCTTGTTCCTCAGGATGTTTTTCAAGGCTGTGCCTGAAGCCACAGAGGCAAGGGGAAACCTCCTTGTGCTGTGCCTCAGGCGGGGATCAGTGGAGTCAAAATGTGGTGACAAACACAGGTTCCTGGATTCACAAGGATTGCTCTGGATCTGGGTACAGGTGAGAGACTGCTGTCTAGCATCCAGGCAGCTGGTGGAGGGGATGGAGGTACTGTGCTGCCAGTCTTGAGGAGCCTTTGGGGCTGCACAGGGCCATGTTCTAACCCGGTGAGTCACCCCTGACATCTCAGCCATATTCCTTCCTGCCTCCTACTGCAGGCTGACTCTTGTAGCCCACAAAGGTTCATAAGGGAGCTGAGATCCACCTGCAGCCCAGGGAAGACCCCACACCAGGTGCCTAAAAGAGGCCATGACTCCATGGGAAGCTCATGGCTGGAGCAAGCTCCTGGCAGGACCTGTGGCCCCATGGGGAGAGGAGTCCAAGCTGGAACAGGTTTCCTAACAGGACTGGGGACCTTGTAGGGAGAGTGATGGAGCAGCTTTGATCAGGACCTGTCTTCCGGCCCTGGTCAATCCCACACAGGGATGTGAGGATACGTTGAACAGATTGACCTGAATAAACAAAAGAAGAAAGAGACAGTCCCAAGAGCTGCTTGAGGAGCACATGTATTATCCATATGCTTTTTGCTGCCAACAAAGTTGGTGTCCAGTCACCATCTCCTCTGTCCCTCACAGTCTCTGATATGCCTCAAGGTCATGGTCAAGCCCTACATGTCTGGAGTTCTGTTTGTTCAACTGCTTCATCCCCATAGTCCACAGGGCCTCCACCTCCATGCCACTCTGGAAGGTCACTGCAGGGTCCCAGGCACTGCAAGGCATATCTCAGCAGGAGCATCAGTCAGAGCTGCTCCACTGTTTGTGCTACAGGTTCTGGGCAGGAGCTGCATCCCAGGCAGGAGTTTGTCCAGGCCCAGCAGAGCATCCACCGTGTTGCTCCAGCCTAGTCCTGGGTGGTTTGCCAGGACATGGAACCGGTGCAATGGGACAAGACTGGGTCCTGTGGCTGCTGTATTGTGGGTGCTGAGCTTGTGCCAGGGCACAGCTGGTGCTCTGGTCACAGCTGGCCAGATCTCTGCAGGTCAGAAGGGGGCAAACTTTTTCCTGAATCTGTGGTAGGACAAGGTTGCTGGGGTCCCCATGGGTGATTGAGGCAGTTACTCACTGGTAGCAGGTGGTTGAACAGCTGGAATGTTCCCACTCATATGAAAGAGTTGTTCATGGGGAGTGGAAAAAGGCAGAAGGCTTGTGACATTTCAAGATGGCAATTAGCAGCTGAAGTTTCCAAGTGGATGCGAGAGGGGGTTTCTGCTTAGCCTCGGAGGTGTGAGCAGCATGCAGGGTTCTGCAGAGCCATAGAGAGAAAATGCAACATTCACTGCAGGGCGAGGTCCCAGCATGTCCCAACAGAGACCTGTCACCGCTGTGCAGAGCGCAGGCTCTGGGTGGAGTGTCTGGTTTAAATTTCCACCTTGGTCTGCCTGGCCAGGTGTTATGTGCTGAGCAGGACTGACTGCGCTGGAAGATGGACCTGGGTCAAGGTATGCCCCCAGCCCCAGGCAGGCGCGTGCAGGACACCGGACCAGTCCCTCCATTACCACTGCAGCCTCAGGCACCTGCATACAGCTGCTTCCTCTCTCAGCATTCTATGCTGCCTCCACAGCCTGGAAAGGGCTGAGCCAGCAACTGGGCCTTAGGCACCCAGCTCACCTTAGAGCACCACCGTCTCAGAGGGCAGATGCTGCCTCTGGTGCTGGCCTCAGCCCCATGGCACAGCGCTGTGCCTGCAGCTACTGCTACGGGGGTTGCTGGCAGCTCTGACTCATCATGATAAATCGGTAGTTCCTGACTTCTCTCAGTGGTGTTTTCAGCTTCTGCCGTTGCCAGATCAAAGCAACAAGACGGATGCAGCTGCAAATAGCTCTTTATTAGAAACAGCAGGTTTAGGACTGTGCAAGAGCATATTATTACTGATTCTCAGAGAGCGGAGCTGCCAGCCTACGAAAGTGGTGGGCAGTGGAAAATTGCTCTTTGGGGACTAATGGAGGCTAATTTCACAGTTGCCGAGTGGGAACCACTGTGTCTGGGAGCCGTAAGAGATGTGGTGGCCCCTAGAATGACAGGGGGAAATCAAGCTCTAATATTTTGCAGGCTGCCAGTACCCAGGACCATCCCTATTTGCCTTTGAAAGCCACAGGAGGCAGAGCTGCAAAGAGAAGGGTCTGCTCTGCTCCTGTGCCCACCCTCCTCTGTCTGTTCTCTCTCTTGCCTGTCACTGCAGCTGCTCTGCCACCTCTCTGGGACAGCCCAGAGCCACCCCAAAACCTCACAGCCATCTCAAGCACTGTCTAGCACACTTGTGCATATGGCAAGGATCTGGGACCTCACTGAGGCCCTGGCACTCAGCCTCCCTGTGCAAGTTGCCTTTGTGATGACTCCATAGCTCCAGGTGGGTCCCTGAAGCAGCACAGAGCAGCAACATTGGAGCTGTCCTGCTGGACTCCATCCTTCAAACCAAAAAGGTTTTGTGGTTTGACAAAAGGTCCAAGCTGCAACATCCAGACCACTGGCTCCTGCTGCACCTCTCTCTCAGTGGTTTTAGCTGCTTGACTTGGCTGGGAAGCCCACCAGGACATCTGTGGGGAATGCGAGCACCCCAAAAGCTGGAGCCTGAGTGTGGTGTGTTTGGATGACGTACAAGAAGAGGGCCACAGGGCTGACAGGCTGCAGAGAGGTGAACTTGCTGTGTGGTTTCTCTCCAGGCAGGAGCTTTCATGCAGCTCAGCAGATTGGGACCCAGGCAGGGTGATTGGGATGCCCAGGCCACCCCAGGGCACTGTAGAGCAAAACTGGTTCATGCACTGGTCTGGGAGTGCCCTCGCCTGGGGATGCGTGGCAAGTTTCTGCACACAGGAGGTGCCATGGGCATCCTGACAGTTATATGCCACCTAGCTCTGTCACCAGGTCCCCTTATAGCACAGGACAACCGTCCCTGTGTTGGATGGAGCTACCTTGCCAGGATTTGTGATATTTGGCCAGTTGTTGTGCTTCCCGTTCTTCAGATGCACGTCAGGGGATCCCTGGTCCTGTAGCCCACAGGAAAGGCAGCTCAGCTGAACACCTTCCCACTTCCTGGCACTGCTCCAGTGGCTCTCTGGCCCCTAGGATCCTGGTGCTCCCAGTGACAGACAGGACCAGCAAGCTGCCCTCTGAGCTGGTGCCTGTCAGCTCATGAGGCATTCCAAGTTTGGGAGTTCTGTGCTTCCTCCTCATGGCACCACAGGAAATGTGATGAGCCTGTCTCCAGAATTTTTCATTCTATGACATGAAATCTAGCAGGATTCTGTTTGTTTCCATCATCTGTTTTCCAGATATGGAATTTTGTTAGGAGAAAATTCCCAGCTGAGTGATGTGCCCACTTGGGATGGATGATAGCTTCATCTCAGCGGTTTCCCAGTCAGATCCATGCCTGACAGATGGGGTCTGGCAAACAGAGGCAATCAATGATCTCTGGATAATGCACTTTCAGCCACTCCATGAAAATGAGAACCTCTGTTTTGTGGTCAGCAGGGTCACAGTCAGCCTCGTGGTTAAACAATAGATGCTCAGGCTGCTCAGCATCCTGTCCCATCTTCCTCAGGAAGTCCCACTGTGATGACCCATACCACAAGATGAGAGGACACGAGGGACTGAAAAATATGGATCTCATGCCAAGATTTCAGAGGGACTTTCCATGTAGCACCTATGAAGCAAGTACTGTTCAACCTGTCTAAGCCCCAGTCTCAGTGTCGGTAGGAAAAGGCATTGAACAAGTTGTCTGGTCTCCTCTCTTTTATGAATAACACTTCAGGACTTTAAGCTCCTGAAAACTTAAAATCTTCTTGTGCCTGTCAGTCGCTTCCCCACTGCCCTCGGGAGACATAGTGCTTGGTGAGGTAGGGCATGAGCTGCACATGCAAGAAGAGCCTAGCTGAGGTCACCAAAGGGATCAATTCCAGCTGGGTTTCTCCAAATTAAAGCCTTCCAGAGGAAGAGAAGTAATTAGAAGCAATGCCAATTGGCTGATAGCACAGTAATTTGAAACTGAAGTCAGGGAAAAAATAGGATCTCAAATGGGAACTGGGAAAAAACTGGACATAGGAGAGTTGAGCCAGGTCCCAGCTGACACAGCAAGTGGCTGGGGGCTGCCTCCATATCTGCAGCTTTGGGAAGAGTGTGCATCACCTCAGTGCTGTTCTCTCAGAAAAGCCATCTTTCATGTCGCTGTCTCATGGACGCTAGTGGACAGGCTTCCATCACTCTCTGCCTTCTTTCCAGAGAAAGAGGATGGATATTTGCGTCTCAGCCAAAACTCCCCACATCCCAACACTTGCTCTGAATTTCACCACTTTCCTGTTGTTGTGAAGCCCAGACTGGATCTCTCTGCAGTCTGCAGGGACTTGCTGGCCTGGATGCCCCAGGAGTGCCCCCTGGATGACCCCAGCCAGGGAGGCCAGGATTGCATCAGTCACCTGGAGCTCACGGACACAACAGCCAGAAGAAGGAATTGCATGGCCAGCTTCTGGGATGAAGGGGAGAGGATCCTCTGAATGCCAGCAAGGTCAAACACTGCTATAGCAAGGAAGCTTTCCGCAGCAGAGGATGAACCTTGTCACTGACTGAGTCCTGTCTCCAGATCATGCACTGAGAATCACCTTGGAATACCCAGGTGCCCAAAGGCTTTGCCACAGCCCTCAAGCTGCTATGAGATGTGAAAGGAGCAAAAGACAAGTGGTAGCCCTCACGGAGGAAGATCATGAAAAAAAGAAGGGTGGATGCACATGCTTTTCCAAACCTTGGCCTCATGCTCTCTTCTGATCGTCTTCCAAACCCCACCGGAGCCAGGGTTAACTTGCCCAGACTTCCACAGCACTTTCCCCTGACACAACACAGCCATGGTGAACAGCAGAGCTTCTGAAAAGCCAGACCTTGTGCTGGTCAGAAAGGAGAAGTGCCAAGTCCTGTCTTCAGGGAGGAACAGCCCCAGGGAACAGGACACATTGGGCTGACTATGAGCCAGCACTGTGCCCTTGCAGCAACAGCAGCCAGCAGTGTCCCAGGCAGCATCAGGAGTGTCCTCCCTGTCTCCCCATCCAACCCAGATCATATGCTGGTGGATGTTAACCCATCTGAGAGTGCAGTTGGGTTCTTGACTGATGGCAAGACTCTGGCAGGACTCCAGTCACCCCAGAACCTAAACCAGGCTCTCTCTGCACCAGGAGAAGGAGTGAGCCATGACCAGAGAGTAGCTCATAGCCAGGGTGACTCCTGTAGCTGAAGCTGACCTGGGCCCACAGATGGAGCTGGTGTGGGGACACACACAGAGGGAGACAGGCCCTAGGATGCTCTGGAAGAGCTGAAGGGATGCATGCAGGACAAAGGATGCTGCAAGCTAGGTGAGCACTGGGGAGTGTGGAGAGGGGCAGGCAAAGGTGCTATGTCACCTCCCCTCCTGATATACCTTCCCTCAGCTCCTGCCACCCACACCAAACCCTTAGCCTGTTCAGGATGTTTTGTGTATTTTTATTTTATCTTCAGGAAATAAAAGTACTCTCCAGAAGGATATTCTCTATCATTTGGTGAATGAGGATGACTCTCTAGCCAAGGAGATGCCATTGAGCAGGGAACACCTGTGGGACAGTTCCTCATGAGATCCTAGCAAACGCCATCTCTGTTTGCCAGTAAATGGGCCCTGCTCAGGAGCCACTGCTGCTCCTGCCCTGCTCTGGCAGTGAAGTGAAGAGTTTGGAGGCTGGCTTGGCCGTGTGGGCACTGCACACACTGGGGTGACTGGGTTGCTGCACCATGGCAGGTGGAAGATCTTGGTGAAGATGAAAGATGGTGCTACAGAGCCAGGGATTTATCCAGACAGAGACGTCCTCTCAGCAATCTAGCAATAGCTCCCAGTGGGTGTGGGGACCCAAGCCACCACAGACCTGTAGAGAGGCCACGGCAAACAGGGGAATGGGCTTGGGATGAAAGAACCCCGTGGTTTGGGGTGGAGAATGCCCATGATCTGGACTAGGGCATTCAGCTTCCAGCCTATTCCCCTAAAACAGACTTCAAAGCTGAAAGAGAGCCTGGGAGAAGAGAGGGACATCTCCCTTCCTTCTTATACACTTCTGGTCTGTAATTTAGCACTGCTGCAGCCACTCACATGCAGGTCTTTCCCTTTTTCTCACAGGAAATACTGTCACCAGTTGAAGGGTGCAGGAGGAGCTCTGCCTGCCTGCCAGCCTGATAGCCACCACCACTGTCCCAGTGCCTTCCAGTCAGGCCATCTATGCATGACCCTCACCTGGCTGGTGTGCATGGAGCTTTACAAAGTCTCTGGTCCCTGCTAGGGAAAAGGGCAGAGGATCTGCAGCAGAAGAGTAGTGTCATAGGGCAGGCGAAGAGGCTCACAAGGGTCTGAGGTGCATGCCACTGTTTGTCCCATAGCAGTGGCCCTGTGGCAAGGCAGAGTGACCACCATGGCCTGGCAGGGACCTGCTGGCTGCCAGCAGCAGATGAATAAATCCCTCTCACTAGAACAGCTTCCTGTGGTCACTGAATCCCCATCCTGTGCAGGGTGCTGCATCCTCCCACCACATGTGATGCTGACAGACAGCAGTGCCTGTGCCCTGGGAGGCAATGTCTCTCCTGCCACACGCATGCCAGTGATCCAGGCCAGCAGAGGCTGGGGCTACAATTTCACTTCTGCTAAATTTCAGAGGAGTTTCCACTGCAAGAAAGACCCCTCCACTCCACAGCACCCTCTAGGCTAGCAGCCTTTGCACCTGGCTGACAGCACATCAGAAAGGCGTATTAAAATATAGTTTATTGCTGTCCTTAGTTTAAAAAAAAACAACAAACCAAAACCCAATAAAACCCAGTGCCCAAACCCAGCACTATCTGAGGCAGGCTTGCAAGGACACACATTTAGTGCAAAGAGGAAAGTGGCAGTGAGGGCTGAGGGGGCTCCGCTTGCTTAGTTCCCACAGAACCCACCGCGCCTACTGTACAGTATCAATTTGCTCTGGGGCTGGTTAGGGAGGGTTGACCAAATTCTCAAGCTCTGGTGGGAGTCCTGGTGGAGCTGGAGGTCTCTGAGGGGGTACATGGGATGTCATGGCTGTGCAGAGCAGCTTTGACACATGTCAGCAACACAGGATGTGAATGCATGCTGAGCCAAGGGGCACCAGACCTGCCCACGCCTTTCCACAGACACAGTCCTTTGCCAGACAGCTGCTGTCTGTTCTTGGGCTTTCCAGTGTAGAAACTAAACACGTGCCCTTCCCTGTGGCTGCTCCCGGCCTTAGGTATCAGAAGTGTTGGTGGGGACTAGGGGGTTATGGAGCTAGAGCACGGCTGCATCTTTTGCAGGGTCCTGCAAGGTACAGGAGCTGGCAGGAGCCACGTGGGACCTTGCAGACAGCAGCACATGGCCCTGGACACTGGCAATTGTGGGAGGGATGCCCTGATCCTCAACCCTTCAACCTCAGCCCTCTTCCAGGTTCCCTTTGTTCCCTCCCATAGCTGATCCTGGCACTATTGCATCAGGCATCACCCCCAGCACCCCCCTGCCCCCATGCCCTATGAGGAGTCAGATCCACATCACAGCCCTCAACAGTGAGCACAGCACACTGCAATGAGCTGCCAGGGCAGACCCTTTCCATATCTTCAGAGGAAGCTGGTGCCTTGGAAGAGAGAGTTGCCCAAATGCCAGCCCTAGGAGCTGAGCAGGTTGGCATCAGGTGAATGTAAACAGCTCCAGTCCAGGAGAAGCACTGGGATCCAGGACAAGCACAGGATGGCTGGGACCACACAGGGCTAACAGGTGGGGATGGGGAGGCTGGGCTAGCCCAGCCATTTGTGGATCTCATCTCTTCCACAAAAGCGCCACTGCAGGAGGCTAGTTCTCAGCTTTTCCCATGACACGTAGTCACAGGCTGTGAGAGTTCAGGGAGTAGGGATGCAGCTACATCCGGATGGGAGCAGTATATACATGTAGCCAGTACTGATGGTGCCCAGGGGTTGGAGCCAGCGGCACAGAAGAAGGCAGTGGCAGGGGCTGTGAAGCAAGGAGCTGTTTCTGAAAGGCAGGAGCTAGCAATGGCATAAACCCTCTCCAGTCTCTCCATTGGCTGGTTTTGGTTGTATCAGGAGTGCAGAGTCAGAGGGCTCAGCCAGGGCAATGCTCACAACCCACCCGACCCTACGGTTAGGTCATCTTCCTGGCAACACTGGCGTACGTGTGCTCAATCTCCTCATCTGCAGGACAAGTGTGATTGAACTCATCACAGGCATAGGCATTGTTGAGGTAGCGCCAGACACCTGTCATGTCTTCTGGGATCTCGAAGTCACGGTACTTTTTGGCTGCAATCTAGAAGAGAGTGAAGGAGGAAGAGGCTGACTTCCACAACTCAGTCTCTGGCTTTGGCAGGGGGACTCCCTGTCCACTCCTCTCGAAGCAGGTGCCCCCCCACCTTGGCCCTGGAGGCTGGTGCCATTACCTTGATGATATGCAATTTGGGCAGGAGGTTGCAATCAGCCAGAGTCAGATGGTCTCCATCCAGGAATTTCCTCTTGGAGATGATGATGTCTTCCACACTGTCCTGGTCAATCTCCTCTGGGAGAGGAGTGTTCAGGTAGACATCCAGGCGGTGAAACTCCCGCAGCAGAGCCTTCTCAAAATCTGGGAGGGCAGGAAACCGAGAGTAGTGAGTGCCCTGGGCTCCCAGGCAAGCTTTAGCATGGACTGGGGTGGCTGAGCCTCCAACATGCTTTGCAGAGAGGGAAAAAGCCCTCAGAGCCACACTATTGGGATACATTGACCCTGGCCCAGGGGACTACAGCAGCATCACCCCATGCTCTGCTGTTATCCCTGTGGAGGGAGTAGACAACTTTGCCTTTACCCTTCCCCTCTGCCCTTCCACTTCCCAAGAAGGCTTTGGTAAGGCAGGCAGCAGGAGCCTTAACCTGATGACAGGATTTTCCTGCAGACAAAAGCATCTCTCCTGCTGCAGCGTAGCTGACTAGAATCCAGCAACCCACAATCCTTACTGATATTTGCTTCTTTGCGTGGATTCTTGATGTATGCCGAGAACTTGGCAAAGATGTCACTGCCCACATCAAAGGACTCCTTGTACTTGGGGCTCAGGTGTGGATACCTTGAAAAAGACACTCATGTCAGTGCAGGCAGGGATGGAGCAGGGATGCAGCAGCATCATTTCCTAGGCCATAGAGCCCAGGGCTGGTACTGGAGGATGCAGAGGGTGCTCATCTGGCTGTGGGAGAACCGTGATGATGTGAACTACTGCGGCTGCCACCCTGTGAACTGTGTCATCTATCCTGGGACATAATCTCAGGGCAGAAACCCCACAATAAGGAGACATGGTGGCAGTGGAGGCCCAGAGCAGAGCTCTGCCTGCAGGCAGTTCTGGCACAGCCCAGAGGATGCACATTGGTACAGAAGGGTCTCAGGAAGCCAGAAGCTCCTATAACTTCCTCAGGAACTGTCTTCTGTTTGCTCACATCTGAAAGCGTTCTGCAAGGGTAGACACCTTAAAGGAGGCTGGTGACAAATGCATTTGAGCTTCCTCTTCTGCAGCAGTTGGGGGGGAGGGAGGTGCACAGGGGAACTTAGCCTTGGGAGCTCCCCAGTGAGCTCAGAGAAGACCAGCTCCCCTCCAGCAGCTCTATAGGCCACCTGCACTGCTGCAGTCAAGCAAGGGCATTTGCTTTCACTCAGCTGAGTGCACTGAATCTAAACAAGCACAGGAGTCTCGCACTCACCCTCTATTTCAACATGAACTGCCACAGCCTGTGGTAAATCCACCATGGCTGAAGTCCCTGCAGGGACCTCCTCACGTTCCCCCTCTGCCCCAGAGACAGGGTGCAATGGCTGGTGCATTTCCTCCCATTGTTTTCCATTCCTATCATCCCCATACCCTCCCCACCGGCTCCAGCCCCACAGTATCGAAGGTCCTACCCTGCCCTGCAGAGCAGGCTCAGGGCCTGGCGTGAAAATCCCCCTGCATGGGCTGCCCTCAGGCACCTCCTGTCACCCTGACCCAATTTCCCAATCTGCCAAGCCCTGTGCAATGCTGTGACAGGCCCCAAAAGGGGGAAGGAGTGAGTTTGCAATTACGTGGGTGGACCCAGGGTCTGCTCCAGGAACTCCTCAATCTTGATGAAATCTGTTTTCAGCTCCTTGTTGAACAGCAAGAAGGGTGGGTTGGTGCCCGGTGCTAAATCTTTCAACTCTTCAGGTTTCCTGGAGCAGAGAAAACAAGCTGATTCAGAGCCCGCAGCACATCTGCCTCCACCAGTCCCCAAGAAAAGTGGCCACGGCAGAAGTGGGGAATAGGAGGGGGCACAGGACCAGGAGCATTCCCAGCTCTGCTGGCTTTGGAGAGCTGACAAGTGGTCCTCAGCCCCTGGATCTGCCCTGTGGTGCCTCCAAGTCATCCTCACATCCAGGGAGTCCCTGGCCCAAGTCCATGCTGGCCCACACTTGCACCCCACATGAGGTGGGCAGTGTGAAGCAGCAATTGCCCCTGTGCAGTGACACCCTGACTACAGAGCAGGCAGGAGGAAGTACTGACAGGGGAGCTGAGTAGGGGGTGTCTCACCCCACTACTGGCCCAGGGCTTTAGTGCCACCTCACCTGGTCATGTCCACTGTGGTGACATTGAACTTGACCCCTTTGAGCCACAGCACCATGAAGAGGCGCTGGCAGAAGGGACAGTTTCCGATGTTTTCTCCATCCAGACCAGCCTGCCAGGAAAGCAGAAAAATGAGGATTTAACCCTTCCATAGACACGATGCCTGGAGCTAGAGAGCCACTGGGCACAGCATGCTGCAGGGAGACCCTCCCAGCTCCAGGGAACTCAGCTGTAGGACCTACCCTGAGCCATGGCCCTGAGGGCCACTGGAAAGAATGTAAGAGCATCCTCAGGATGCCAGGGGTTGGATTCTTCCCAGAAATGTGAGACAAAGTCAGGAGGAAGTGGAGAAGGAAGCAGGGGGAGAAGGTGGAGGGTGATTTCTAATGGATGGGGAGGAAGGGAGGGTCCGCTTGGCCAGGAGGCCAGGCTGGAGAGGGTGGGAGAAGGGAAATGAGCTCATGTTTGCCAGGAAAAGAGCAGTTTGTTTTCATGTGCTGTTCATGTCTGCCTCCGGTCTCATGTGCATTTAATGAACCCAAGCACAATGTCCCCAGGCCAAGAAACACCCAGCAGACTGCCCCAGGCTGGGTGCAGGAGGGAGAGATGGGTGCCAAAGAGAATTTGTGCTGGTGATGCCTGATGATTTTTGCTTTTCCTTTTTACGCTTTCTGTACCCTCTATGCATTCCCCTGCACCCCTTAGCCCACATGCTTGTAATTCCTGAAGCTTGATATTCCAGCTTAGTTTAGGTGTTTTGCTGGGCAGAGAGACCAAACATCCTGAGGAAGGAGTCAGTGTGCCCTGTGCTATCTTAAACCCGAGGCTCCAGCCTTGGGTGAAGCCTTCTGTCCAGAACATCTTGTGTAAACTGGGCTCTGACCTCATCCGGGGGGGATTCATTAGAATAGGGGGACATTACTGCATTTGTTAAGTTTCTGATTGGGGAATCCTAGATAGATATGCTAATTCCTGAAACCTATAAACTTGTATCCGTGCTGTACATGTGTGTGCATTCTGCCATCAAGTTGTGCACCTGGGATCCCAAATACCGAGGTAAAACCCTTTTATCCCCTTAACCGTGTCTGTGTCATTATTAAAAACTGGCCTTTCAAGGCAACACTGGCATCCCACACATGAAACAGAGATGAATGTCAGCTGCTAAAGGAGCCCCTTTCAGTCCCTCTACATGAGCACAGCCACAGGCAGAGTGAAGCACATTTCCTTCCTATGTAGCAGCTAGAAATATCCTTTACAAAAACGACTGAAAAATCTCATGAAGAGTTTGGCAAGGGGAATACAGCAGGTTTCCCCGTTCACAAAAACTGGCCAAGATGCTGCTGTGAGCAGGAAGTTGTGCTGTGGTAAGAGGCAAAATGGCTCACAGGAAGCTCAGCTTCTTTAAGAGAATTAACGGGTTCCTAAGCTGTATGTGAACTGTGGTGCTCTGGCTCATGTGTCCACTCTGTCCTGGCAGGGAGGAGCAGCACAGCTCGCACCAGCCCCGTCACAGAAGGCTCCTGCTCCCACGGAGCCGTGTGTGATGGGACAGCTCTGCTCTAAGCCTTCCTATCTGATAGTCAGCTGAAGTCCAGAGGCTAAGCAGGATGGTGATGAAATTTTAAAGGATCTGATGGAATCAAGCAGCAGCACAAACTTCCAGGGTGGGCAGCCGGATGTGGCTCCAGAGCTTGCACCTCTTTGGCGACCTAAAGACAAGATGGCTGAGGAGGCAGAGATCTGTGCCTGGTTCTCATGGACTGGAGGTGCTACCAGTCACCACTGACACCCAAAAACCTGTGGAGTCTGGAGCGCTCAGCTTCTTCAGGAAGAGAACGCTGACGTCAAATTCACCCTAAAGGGGACAGTAAATGGATCAAAACAACCCCCAGCACTCCAGGTAGTGAGGTGGAGCAGGGAGTCTGCTTTTCCATCATGCTAAGACCTTTTAGTCACTCCAGAGGAAAGAAAATTGTTTTTAACAAATATTTTTTATGCTCAGCTGTCGTGAAATTATGTCCCTGAAGAAGGAAATGAGAACCAAGAAACATGTTGATTCCTTGGGATGTGCCCAACAGTGAAGCTGAACCTACATGGAACGCTGGTCAGTGTCGATTAATAGCAAATACTCCCAGAGGGGGCTACAGCTCAAGAGCATCCTGTGTCATTAATAGCAAATAGGGCTTCTCTGGAAAGGGGTGAAACTGGGTCTCAGACTTCCTTTGTAGCAGCTGGAGGGGAGAGTCCAAGAACAGCCTCGAGGCCGGGGCAAGAGTGCAGGGCATCTCTGCTCCCCTTCCCCAGCACCCCTGCCACCTATGACTCCAAACTGATGTCATTCTTTGGAGCATCTCCAGAATCAACAGCTTAGCATGTGCATTTGTGGCTGCCTAGCATGAGAACCAATGCTTTCCTCCTTGCCCTCCCTGCCAGCTACACTCTCTTCAACTTCCCTGGCCTGGCACAAGGCTGGGAATGAGATGGTTTAATTTGTCCTGCTGTCTCCCAGGAGCTGTTGTGCTGAACCATGGCAGCACATAGCTCTGGTGGAGCCAGAGGACAAATGGTGGGGTGGGGGCTCAGTGAGGGGAATGGGTGTCCCTCGCTCAGACTGCTCTGGGCTTACACTCTGATCACCTGCTTCAGGTTTCTCTGTGCTTGTCTAGTAGCTCCAGTCCCTAAGCACTTCAGGCTGGTCTTCCCCCTCATCTTTTAAAAATAGAGAGGTGGGTTATTTTGGACTAGAGCGAAAAGAAAATCAGAATGACCTCTGCAGGGAGAAAGAATCAGGCCCATAACAGGATGCTTAGAGCCAAAACCTTTATCTGAAGGAAGTGGAGGGGAGCTCCACCAGCACCCAGGCACTTACAGGGGAACATCAGGCTCTGGAAGAGCCTTGCTGGCAACCAGTGGCCATGGGGGGAGCCTCAGGGAGCCAGGGGCCCTCAGAGGAGACTTGCAGCCATGTGACCTCCCTTGCTAGCAAATGCAGAGCAGCAGGGGTGGGGGGAGTCATCATTCTTCACTTCCTTCCCCAAAGTACCTCTGCCACTCCTCCCACTGAGGCAGGAATAGGGTGGGAGCACAGATTGACATTCCTCAATCTCTTGCCCTCAGCTGATAGATAAACCCAGTGTGGGCTAGCACAGTATTTCTAGGACATTGCAAGCTTTTAGCCCCAACTTTCTGAGGCCTCACAAGGCTGCTTAGGGCATTCAAACCCCAAAGCTACTTGGCAGTTCCTGTGGTTTCTCTGTAGTGAAACAACCTCAAATGCAGTGGAAGAAGGGAACAGCTTTGCCTGCTTGGGGCACTGCTAAATATTCAGCTCCCATGGGACCTGCCACAGCTCCTACAGCCACCCTGAGAGCCAGGAAGTAGCTAAATATCTGGTGGAGGTGCGGAGCAGACCCTCCTCCCAGGCAGGGAAAACCTCCCAGCCAGAAAGATAATATTCCTGCCAGGGACATGGCAGGGTGAGCAATTTACAGCCCCTTGGGAACCACCCACTCCAAACCCTAGGGTAAAGCAGGAGCTGCTCTGCACCCTGTCCATCCTCAGCATGGTAACTACAGCATTTGCCAGAGTGAACGTCTGGCAGGGTGCCATGCCATGCCATGATATGCCATGCTATGCCAGTAGGCACTTGTGGAAGCACCAGCTTCCCCCATGATTTACAGCTGTCACTGATCACAGTAACAGCCATGTATGGTGCGTTCCCAACCCAGGGAGGTGCTGATGGTACAGGAAGGTACTTGTCAGCAGCAAAGCCACTAAATGTGTCTTTGGTAAAGCTGGGTCCTGAGTGCTGGGAAAGGGAGACAGCATCAACTTTTCTGTGAGGAGACAAGTCAAGAGGGTTTTTTCATGCTAAATTAAGGCACAGAGGAAGTGTTGATGATGCTGCAAGTTTTCTGTTTCACTTCCCTCTAAAAACCCCCTAGAATGTCCAGCTGCTGTTACAGTCACCGCATGTACCATTTCCTTTTCCAGCCATGCCAGGAAGAATTGTTAAGCAGAGAATTCAACACTCAGATTACTTTCACCAAGAATACGCTTGTCTGGATTGAGCTCAGCCAAGATCAATGTCCAGCAAGAAGTGCTACAATTTTGGCAAGGGGATGGGGGAGATCTCTCCTGGGAAGGCTCAGATAATCCTTTCTAGCACATATGTCCAACTACTACCCAAGAAAAGCACCATTCAGTGCCTGGAACTGCTGGGTGCCTGTGCCGGGGAAGCCAGTGCCTCTGACCCTGTCTTTTTAGGCACCGAACTGCTCCAGTAGGAGAGGAATGAAGCCCAGGAACCTGAGTGACTACAGGAAAACCATCCTTAAAACCTTGATGAGGTGGCACAGAGAGGCATCACCCTCACCGTCACTTGACAGCATGTCCCGGCACCCCCCCGCCCCGCATTGCTGTGGCCAGACACAGTTACAGTTACCAGCCACCAGCTTTGGCTCTTCGCTTTTTGTACCGCCCATGGCTGCTGCAGATATTTTGAACCTGAGTGTTAAAATATTCCAAGGGAAGGGTTTGGAAAATTGCTTAACAGTGAAAACTTTCCCTTAACAGCGATAAAAAAAGAGAAACCATTTCCAGCAAATACCCCTCTGCGATGCCACCCCATCTTGCCTGCATGTGGATTCCCACATCAGTTCCCCAAGCCATCCATGCTCATTTCATGACCCTGCTCTCATCAGAAGCTGAAGGGGCTCCTCCTAGCCCCTCCTGCTTGCCGTTCCCAGGCTGGGGCTTGTCTTACTTGGGTTTTAAGTGTGTTTCCATTCCTCCATCATGCTGCTGCCAGCAGTGGCATTTCTCCAAGGTGCACAACCACCGCGAGATCAGGGCATCTTTCAGACTGCTGGCCATGACACCCCACAGTCCCTACACCACCACGTGGTCCCCCCTGTCTGGGCACCCACTCCGCCAGCCTTTGTAGAGAGTGACACTGAATTTGGTACCCATCTCCAGCCTCGCAGAACATGAAGACACCCATGAATTCCCACCACCTGCACCCAGCTGCATCTTGGAGTGGGTAAGCCAAAGAGTCACTTCCCCCCACCCCGAGACCCACCTTCACAAACAGCTCAATCTCAGGCTCCTTGGTGGTGTTGTGCTGCTGACCATCCATCCCAGCAGTATGGGGAAGGACCACTGGCCACACACTGTTGTGGTGAGTTGGTCTGTCCCCTGCAGAGCTCTGATGGGGGAGGCTTTCAGAGAGCTGGTGGCTTGGGCCCCTTGGCGGCTCTCACTCTGCAGAGGGCTAGAGCTCACACTTTCCTTTCCTCTGAAGAAGGGAGGAGCAATGGGGTGTGTGCCAGAACCCGCCAGCAAGGGGAGGAAGCTGTAGGGCCTCTCAGACGTGACTCAGCATGGGTCTATCTGGTCACGCTCACAGTCCCCTTCCAGTCTATCGCACCCACCCAGGCGCTCCTCCAGTACCTCTGAGCACTGGGCTGCCATCCCCAGCATTTCTGGTGTCCACAGCAGCGCTGCCGCCACTTCCCAGCTGGGAGCAAGGAAGCATTGCCTGTTGCAGAGTTACAGAGGAAGCGTTGCCTGTTGCAGAGTTACAGAGGAAGCGTTGCCTGTTGCAGAGTTGCCTGTTGCTCCTCCTGCTGCTCAAGTCTTGGACATTTGCCAGTCTCCCACCCTCATGCCGGTGTCCATTGCCCCAGCTTTTTTATTAATTTGGGGTGAACCTGGCTGACCTTCCCACTGCTGCCTGTGGCTGCATTATGACAGGCAGCTGCCCGGAGGGAGGGAGCAGCTCCTCTCCCAGCGCACCACTGCATGGGCTCCTCTGAGCCCCCCTCGCTGCGAGGAGCTGGGCTGATAGAGTAAATGCTCAGGGAAGATGAGTGGAGCAGCCTGGGCACCTGTCACTGACTTTTTGAAGGTGGGCACAGCCCTTAGGTGGGAAAGATTGCAAAACAGCTAAGGCAGAGAGAAAAGGTGCTGAAGTATGCTGGGGAGCAGTGGGGAACCCCAGACTGCCCCTGGCAGCCACCCAGCTACATGGTGCTTGGCAGGATGGTGGGATGGGATGTCTCCAGGATTGACCTTCAGCAGTGCCCCATTCCTGGAATTCAGCTATTTCACAGGAAGGGTGAACAGCTTGTTTTCTTCCTCAGGATGGGAGGGAAATGTTTGCTGTCAGATCATCCTGGCTGCAGAGACAGCAGAGACAGCTTCCCAGCACACACGGGCTTAACCCTTGGGCAAGACCTGTCTTGCACCCTCAGACCACATAGCTGGTGCCATTACACAAAATGGGGACTCCTAGGCTTGACTCAGCACCCCCCACCCCAGCTCAGATAAGCTTCAACCCTCCCAAAAATAATCAAACCCTGATCAGACAGCAATGCCCCCCAAGGCAATTAGGATGGGAAAAGATTTTGTACACCCCTGGAGGAGGCTCCCAAACAGAGATGATTCTCCTGGTCCTGCTACACAGCCCAGAGTGGTGCTTACACTAGGGGCTGCAAGGGTGGGGAGATGGGTGGAGTATTTTTTCTGCTCCATCAAAACTTTAGGAGTACTTGGAACTCTATTCAATGGGACAGGACACTCTGACTCACAGTCTCAAGAGAAAAAAGGATGTATTGATGGCACTGTCAGTGCCCCACAGGGCCATGGCGACATCTTCATTGTGAGCTTTACAGCCATCATCCATCTCCTGCTGTGGACCCCTAGGTGATATGTGCCACTGCTGCCACAGCCTCCCCAGCTGCCCCTGCCCAGGCAATGCTGAGCCTCTGGGAGCTGTGATGGCTCCTGGCACTGCCAACTGCAGCTGTCTCTGCTGACCTCAGCCGGGTGCAGAGCCAGCAGCTCCAGTCCATGGCACTTCCCTCCAGCTGAAGCAGGGATTTAACTCCTGCAGGTGGGAGGCACAGGATGACATGGTGCCCTCCTCATGAGGTGCCAGAGTGCCCAATACCTGGCCCCATAGAGGCTGTGGGGCAGAAGCGTGGCAGCAAAGAGGTCCCTTCCCACAATGTTTGGTGCAGGAAGGGTGTTTGCCTTTTCTGCAGGAACAGCCGCCTAGCAGGCAGTTTAGAGAGCCTTTCCCTTCCTTCTCACACAGTCAATGGCCGGACATTTGCCGAGATGAAGATTACAGAACACATGTTTCTGGATTTCTGCCCCACTGTGTCTGGGAGAAAGCTGGGGGCACTTTGGAAACCTTGCCAAGCCTGTTTCTCTGCCCAGGGGGAACAGAGGTGGGAGGGACGGGCCTGCCAGTTTCTCTGCCAGCAACAGGGACGCCAAGGCATGGCTGAACCATAACAGGTGCCCTGGGGGAAGTGTTCCTGTGCTGAGAGTGACACAGCCGTCCCAAGCAGCCTCTGGCTCTGGGCAGCAGACTAAGAGCGGGTGCACATGTGCCCGCCCAGCCCCGGGACTCCGGCAGGGCAGAGAAGCGAGCCATTGTCCCCACGCAGTGCCAGTCTCGTGGGCACCACCCGCCGACGAGGCCCCGGCCGACACAAGCTGCTGGGTGGGACGCAGCAGTTGTGCCATGGCCGGGCTGGTGCTGCCAGCAGTAACCATGGTCCTTCTCTGCATGGCTGTGCGTCTGGAGGCCAGCCTGGAGCTGTCTGGTGAGTCAGGGTGAAGGTGGGGAGGAGGGAGGTGCTGAGGACTGCGCTGGTATGATGGGAAGGCAAAGTGACAGCAGATTGGTGGGGTAGGGACAAGCGAGGTATAAACCATGGCAGGCCAGAGTGAGTTTCCCCAAAACGCTAGGATTTCTTTATCCCGACAGGGCTGTGCTCTGAAAACACATTGCACACATCCCACAGCTGCGGTGTGTGAGTGAGAGTGGCTCCCCGCTCTGCTGTGCTCCCTCGGACAGTCTGGAAGCAGAAATGCAAAGAAACTAATATTGAGCCAGTCCCTGAGCTTTGTTGAGCATTCCCACAGCCATGATGCTCATGTCCTTGGTGCTGAGCAGTGTGTAGAGCTGAAGGAGCATGCAGGGCTGCCCTGTCAGCCTTCGTGATCTGAGAAGGGGAGGGAAGAATTGGACTGGAGCTGTACCTGGTCCCCAGATGGAGGCTGGTGGCTGTGCCCCAGCTAGAGCCACTCATGAGTTGGGGTGCTGCAGGGTGCCCTGCCACAAGACACAAGCAAGGGCCATAGGCTCTACCCAGGGCTATGCTAGTGAGCCTCAGAGATGTAGACAAGGCAGAAATTTGGGATCCCTTCTGCTCCAGCTCTTTGAACAGCCAGGACAGGTGCAGGCAGGCTGGGCACCAGACATTCCCCAGAGATCATCTGGAAACAGCCACGCACAACTTCCCTCTGCTCAGCTGGGCCCAGGTGGGTGAAAGACTGATGCTAAAGGGCAGGCTGTGGTGAGAAGGATGTGATTTCATCTGGGCAGAGCTAATGGCACAACTACAGCACCAGGGACTGAGTCAGCTGCACTGGCACAAATCATTCATAAAGTCTGCTTACAGCCTCCTTGACATGGCTCCACCCAGAACAACTTTTTCACAGCTGCTCAAAATAGTGTGATGGAGAAACCTCTGCCCCCATGGCACTCTTCGAGCCTCAGTTTTAAAATACAAATCACTGGTGCTGCCAGCTGGCATGACAGCAGAGCAGGGTGCCTGCCCCAAGGCTGGATTTGGGAAAACCCATTTCTTTTCATATTTCTCTCCAAAGTTCCCTGCCATACCTACCAGGATTTGGCTGAGCCCTCTGCATTCAGGGCTGTCTACATCCAGCAGTGCTGGATATGGGCAGATGGTTTTGGAGTCAGTGCCAGGCAGAAGTCAAGGCCAGGTAGCTCTGAAACATTCAGGAGAGCCTGGCTGCTGCCAAGTGTAGGGCTGGTGCTGCAGATGTGGGGCTGCTGCAGGGGATGCAGAGGAAGGAGATGGAGGTTGGCAGCCTGGAAGGGTCCTGTGCCACTCACAGCCCCCAGCATCCAGTGATATGGGACAACCAGAGGAGAGGAACAGGACAGGGTTTGTCCTGCCCCCTCTTCATGGGCATTGCACCCCAAGGGGCTGACCCAGCTCTGTGCCATTCAAAGAGCATCTTTGCATCACGCTGGAGCTTTGACCTGGCTAAAACACCTTGTCTACTACCATCTACCCTCCTCTCCATCTCCTTTCCCCTTTCCTCCAGCATGCAGAGGAGCAATTGAGGGCTTGCTTCTGAGATGCTGTGGCCACCCACACACTCATCCCAGCTTGAGAGGGGAAATGCCAAGGGAGAAATTAACTCCGGGCTGGAGGCGTCTCCCAGCTGCACCCACCGACATCCCAGGGAGGGATGCTGACTGCAGATGCCAAAGGGTTAGTGGCAGCAGTGAAGGTGAAAGGAGCCCTTTGTGCTGCTGAGCCTGGCACCAGTTTGCAGAGGGAGGGGGGAGGAACTGGTGCTCCCACATTCTTGTGTTGGTTTGGGAGAGTTAGACACACTGGGGGTTGGGGGACAGAATGCATGTCCTGCCCTGAGCCCCAGTACTGCCTTGGGGCTGAGACGCATGTTCCTCCAAAGACTCCACAGCTGGGGATTGGGATCTGTGATCCATTCAGAAGCTCTGTGTTGCCCTTCCCTATCTCCCAGCCTCAAAATAATGTTTCCCCTTTCCTTTTGTTTTATTCAAAGACACAAACTGCTTCATTCAGGGCCTGTACATCACTTTTTTTTCACTTTTATTGCTTTCTCAGCCTTCTCCAGCAACTGGTGCCTGCTCAGAGCACCTGGCATCTTGAAGAACTGTGACTAAAACAGCTTCCTTGCCCACCCAGTACAGCCAATGCCAGCTGAAGCCAATACTGCATGTTAAGTCTTTGGAGATGCCAGGCAGGACAGTCCCACTTTGCTGAACCCAGTATGGAAAACAACAGGGGCAGTAGTTTGAGACAAAAACTAGGCAGGTTTGAAAGAGAGAAGCATTCTGTGATGGGAATTCAAGGAGGGAAGGGCCAGTGTCCATTAAGGGCCAGGAATGGTTTGCACCAATACACTGGGCTTCTTCAGCAGACACCTGAGGCCAACTAGTCTCAGGTGATGACTTCGTGGCTCACACTCATCCATACTGACTCAGCCAGCTGTGGGAGCCTGCAGCAGTGGCTGGACCCTTCCCCTCATCCGGCTCATAGCTCAACTTGTGACAGAGCACATCCTCCCCCGCTGAATCCAGGGATCATCATTGGGGGATCATCTCTGTCTCACCCTTGTTCTTTCCCCACCATGGCTGTATAACATACCTGATTTTCTCTAAACACTTGACAACTTCTTATGGGATTCACCTGTCTTCTCTGAACTGTTGTCCAGCTTTCCCTTCCTGTTGCTAACTAGCTCAGTTATTCTGTGCTGCTTTCCAAGCTCTTGGTACCTGTATGTAAGGTTTGCTGCAAGCCCATCTTCTCTGCCACTGTCCTGCTCTGATCCTGTTCCATAACTACCCTGTCTCAAGATATCCTCATTGTCACCAGCACTTGGATGCCCAAGTAGCACCACTGTTGTGGCCCTGGTGTCTCCTCTGCACAATGCCACCCCCGCTTTTCCCTTCCAGGGTACCTGCGCAAGGTGCTGAGGAATCACACTGCTCACACTTGTGATGGAGAGCAGCTCCTCATGGTCTGCCCTCACAAAACCACCATCAGCATCCTCGGTGCCTTCTATGGGCGCCGTGTGCCCAGTGCCAACCTCTGCCCCAGCCCCGTCAATGCCTCCCAGGAGAGCACTGAATGCACATCTGCCACTGCCCACCTGGTAAGGAAGGGGTCCCAGGGGGTGGGCTGTACACCCCTCTGTCTCTGCATGACTGATCTGCCTGCTTGGGCTGGGGGACTGCAGGCAATGTGGCCTCCCCATGCCCCAAGGAGGTTTTCATCAGCATCAGGATTACAGAATCGCAGAATCAAAGAATCACAAACACTCCTTGAACTCTGTTAGCCTTGGTGCTGAGACTGCTTCTATGGGGGAGCCTGTTCCCAGCCACCCTCTGTGAGAGGAACCTTTTTCTAATATCTAACCTAAACCTGCCTTGACACAACTTCAGGCAAATCCCTCAGGTCCTGTCAGTGGTCACCATAGAGGAGAGATCAGTGCCTGCCCCTTCTTTTCCTTTAACAAGTAAGCTGGTTTTTGGAGCAATCCCACAGGACCCAGCAGACTTGGAGAAAGCTTTGGCAGCTGGGGCTGGATTCTGGAAGAGGGGTAGTGCCATAGCTGGAGTGTTAGATTCATGAAGTGAGACAGGATCCCATGAAATGCCATGCTCAGCCTTGTGGGGTTAGCACAGAGCTTGGTTCTTCCCCAGCCAGAAGCAGCATCCATCCATGCTGGCAGCTCCCAGGGAGTGGATTAATGAAGCGGATTAATAAAGTAGACCAGAGGGGTGTCTGTTTGATGGTAGCAGTCAGTGCAGAGAAAGGACAAGAAAGAAGAGGCTGGCAGAAGAAAAGTAATGGAACCTCCCCAAAGCTGCCTGGGTCCTTCAATGGGGACATCGTTTCATGTGTTGCTTTTCTAAGACCCCGCCTTGCTAGGGCTGGGGCAAACCTGCAGCAAACCCAGTGGCTGCAGTAGCCTGCAGAAAAAGGGAATGAGCTGGAGAAAAGGAAAAAGAGCTGAGGAGCCAGTTCCCTGCTTAGGAGCTCACAGGGCTTTCCTGCCTGGTCCTGCTCCAGCCACACATCCTGTCCTGGGATCCTGTATGTCCCAGGAGCACTGCAAGCACCAAGCCAGACCATGCTGGCACAGCACAAGGCTGACCCCATGAACCAGCCTGCAAACACAGGTCACGGTCTCCCCCCCTCTGCAGGATGGAGAGTATGGCCAGGCACAGGTGCTTGGAAACTGAAGGGCAGGTCTGAGAGCAGGTCTGTGTAGCTCAGGTTCACAGCTCAGTGAACAGTGGGGTGGCCATAATGGCACAGAGCTGGGATACCTGCTGCTGATTAAGGAGCGAGGATGTCTGCCAGGGCTCAGCTCTGTTTAGGCAGCCACTGGGAAGAGAGATTGCTTGTGTTTCCTTAGTGAATTTCCCTTCTGCCAGGCAGTGAAGACCAAGGGGACGCTCAGTCCGGAGCTGGGTGGGAAGGACAGATACACAGGAAGGAAAGGAGAGATGAGAAGGGGCTCCGTCCTGAGTGCTGGGATCCCCGGGCCTGAGTTACAAGGCGGCAGCAAGGGAATAAACCGCTCCCTGCTGCCGGCAGCCTCTGCTCATGCCGTGACATTTGCGGGGGGAAAGAGAGAGGCGTAGGAGCAAGAAGCCCCACCGCCAGCCGAGGCCGGACTACCCAGAGACTCCTGCCAGAGCCGACGGCCCGGGGCTGCCACGCGGGGGCTGGCGTACAAGGGGAGAGCGGCTGTGGCCATCCCGGTCACCGGCTGTGGCCATCCCGCTCACCGGCTGTGGCCATCCCGGTCACCGGCTGTGGCCATCCCGCTCACCGGCTGTGGCCATCCCGGTCACCGGCTGTGGCCATCCCGCTCACCGGCTGTGGCCATCCCGGTCACCGGCTGTGGCCATCCCGCTCACCGGCTGTGGCCATCCCGGTCACCGGCTGTGGCCATCCTGGTCACCGGCTGTGGCCCTCTCGGTCACCGGCTGTGGCCATCCCGGTCACCGGCTGTGGCCATCCCGCTCACCGGCAGGGCCCGACTGGCCCGCGGGTGAGGCCTCGTCCCCACCTTGCGGCCGCGGGGGACATTGCACGGCCTGCGGGGACGCGAGCGTCCGGGCCACTGTCAGCGCCCACCTGCACTGCTGTTAGAGACACGGGGCGTGAGGTGGCACTGCCATGCCAGCGCAGGTAGTAGAAGACCTGTGCTGACACACAGCTCACTATGGGTGAAGGCGAGGAACTGTTTCAGGAACTGGCACTGGAATCGGGATGTCTGAATCAAGGGTGGGCAGGAGCAGCTGTGGGACACTTCTGTGAGGTGAGAGGCCATTTCCCTGAGCCTGGTGATGGCACTGAGGGACAGGAGGTGAGAACAGCCTCAGGACATCTCACACAGCTCACACCTGTTCCACTCTGCTTTCCAGAAGCTGCTGGCTGAATGCCAGGACCAGCAGTGGTGCCAATTCTCAGTGCACAGCCAGGTCTTTGGGCCAGACCCCTGCCCTGGGACACACAAGTATCTCATTGCTTCCTACAAGTGCCGACCAGGTGAGATGGAGGATGGTCTGGGTAACACTGCATGGGCTCTTCCTGACCTCAGCTGCTCAGAAAGCGGCAGGAAGGGGAGCGTGGCTGCTCCTATACCTTGCAGCCCTCTTTCAACCCTCCCCTTGGCCTAAGAGAAGGGCTGCAGGTGATTCAGGATGAATTGGGACAGTCTGCGATGTCACTTCCCAGGGAATCATCGCATCAAGACTGTGTGTGAGAATGACAAGCTTAGGCTGCAGTGTCGACCAAAATCTATCCTAGCCATTTATTCTGCAAGTTATGGACGATTCCTGCGGGGCAAACCAGAGTGTGATGCCTTGAACACTGGAGGACCCCATATAGGTATGCCAGAATGATTTAAGACAGAAATGAGGCAGGAACCATGCAGGGAGTATGACACAAGCCTTCCAGTGGGCTGTACCCGTGTCCCTTGGCCTCAGCTGGCCAATGCCCAGCAGGGAGGGGCAGGCAGCTCTGCCCATGGGTCCATGCCTCCTGTCTCTGCAGAATGTGTGGCTCCAGATGCTCTGCGCAGGGTCTCCAAGAAGTGCCACCGTAAGGGGAACTGCACTGTGGCTGCTGACAAGGCCACCTTCGGGGACCCATGCCTCCCCGGCATGAAGAAGCAGCTGCGAGTCTCTTACACCTGTGGTGAGAGCTCCTCATGGAGCCAAGGGCACACAGGCCACTGGAGCAGTATCTGCTGTGCCCACCCCATGCCATGCAGGCGGGAGTCATGGGGCTCCCGAGGGAGGCAGGGGCTGCTGGGGAGGAGCAGGGTGGTGATGCTCTGTGTTTTATCTCCTTGCAGTGCCCCAGCAGCTCCTGGAGGAGGTGGGCCCTGACACCTCAGACCCCTTCCTGCTCTCAGACTACATGCACGGTAATGTGGTGAGACGGAGGTTACACCACAAGCAGTGTGGCACCGTGTCCATGCTTGGGTGACCCAGCCCTTCCATGGCCTGTCTGTATCCCTGGTACCAGCTCCATCCCAGCATCTCTGTCTCATGGTAGAAGCCATCCCTTGGTCAGTGCCATGTCTGAGGGGCTGGAAATGGCATCTGCTGGGAGCAGGGGAGAGGAAGACACACAGGGTTATCCCTGTGGGCAGCAGAGCACTTGTAGTGGAAGGATGGAGTGTGGTATGGGGAAGGACAGGCAGSAGCAAGCAGCCAGGACACGGGGCACCAAGAGCTCCTCGTGTCTCAGCCCGCACCCCCTTGTCACTGCAGGTGGCTGGTACAAAGGGCCCAGGTTCTCCATGCTCCAGGAAGACCGCATGATTTTTACTAGCTCTCTGGCAGCTTTTGCCCACCTTTGGGGTACGTGCCCTCCCTGGGTCTCACACAGCACCCGGGGGAACAGGACAGACTGGGGGATGGCTGAGGTCCCAGATGGCTCCAGCTCAACCCAGGGCTCATCTCAGACGCAGCCAGACCCCAGATCTCTCCATCAGGGTCAACAGGCACACAAGAGAAGTCACCAAACACCCATGCTGGGTTTGGGGTGGACAGGTAGGGTGGGGGCTCAGAGGTTGAACAAGCCCCCAAGTCCCACAGCATCAACAGTCATGTGCCTACAGTCCTGCCTGTGGACCCTCCTTTTACAACAGGCTAGATTACCCACTGGGTCTTTTCCTTCCTGCCCTATCTGCAGGCACTGATGGAGACCACCTCTCTGCAGGCAAAAAGTTCCTTGCCAGAGGAAATTGCCCATTTAATCCTCCAAGGCATTATTCTTTCCCCTGCTCTGCCTACCCCACATCCCAGTGGAGGTTTCCTTTGGGGAAAGGCACATATCAGCACTGGTGGGTGCTGATGAGGCTCTAGGTGACACTTCCATGATTACTGGGGCAGGGTCTGTCCTTCCTCTGGAGTCTGGGTGGTGAGGGCATCCCTGCTCCCCTCCTCTTACTCCTATATGCTTGGCAGAGGGGCTTTGCAGGCACTGATACCCCACAGGCTTCAGAGCAGTTTGTACCCTGCTGTCCTTCTTTCCTCTTCCCCTCAGATGTCCCAGAGAAAGTTGCCCTCTACTTTCTTTGTGGAGTCTCAGGAGGCCTCATGCTGCTGCTGTGCATCATCAGCCCCAAAACAACCTTCCTCCAGGAGGTGGGAGAGGCTCTCAAAGACCCAGAGCTGGGGAGCAGCTCAGAGCTTGGCAGGACCAAATTGCAGGATGAACAGGATGAAGACATCGCTGATGACAGCTCCTCAGACTCCTCCTTCCGCCGCCTCACTCGCACCTACCGGGCCACTGACAGCATCTTCAGCCCTGAACTGACGGCAGCCATGGAGGGAGCGGTGGAGCACCAGGGCCACAACGGGGAGGAGATCTGGATGCCCAAGGAGTCAAGCCCATATGCCATACATAAGATCAAATCAGCCACCAAATAAGAACAGGAAAGAAAATGGCTGGAGAGAAGCAGAGGGGTTCAGGCTCAGTGGGATCTGACATCAGAGAGGCATAAGAGTTTGGGCTCCTCTGAGTAACTGGACGCCCTGAATAGCAGCAGGGTCATGGCAGCTCCAGTGTGTCCATCAACCCATTGCTCCACAGCATGGACACCTCTAACCTGGTGGTAACTTGCAGTCCCTGGGTGTGATGAGGGGCTTTGCCACAGACACGCCACTAACCCTAACCTAACCTCCCTGTTCTCTACTCACATCATCTGGCTCTAGAACTTAACCCTGATCAGCTGCGCCAAGCCCATCCTGAGCCCTTCCTACTTTTCCTTGGGTACTAGCTTCCACTCCTGGTGCTGCAAACATACCCTGCACTCAGGCAGTGCTCCAGGGGCAGACAGGCAAGAATGGCCAGGACAAAGGGAGGGGCAGATGCAAGCACAGCCGCACAGCCCCACCACAGTGCATGCCATGCAGCCCTGCTGTGACAAGGGAGCTACTTCCCAGGCTGAGGTAACTGGCAGCTCAGACCTCCCTGCAGGCATTCAGGAGGTCTATCTCCTTCTGCAACCCCATTTTGCTCTGTGCTTTACTTTGTACTTTCCCCAGTGGCAGGATGGCCCCAAGTTTTAACTTGCTGTGTTTTTTTTCAGTAAATAAATGCAACAGCTCTTGGGCACAACATCTCTCCCTGATCTTGCCCATTAGTAATCAAAAGGGGAAAAAGGAAGAGGCAAAGTTCAGCCCTCCCTGTGCAGAGAAGCACCTTGCCTCCCACCAGTGCTTCTGGCACTGGGCCATGGGAAGCAACAAGTTGGGCCTGTTTCACCACAGGAAAGGATAAGGTTTTAGCCTGGGGAAGGGAAAGGAGGAAAAGCAGTCCATCTGGGTCCCTGGAATGATGTTCCGCTGTTCTTACTGCTCTTCTTGAGCCTGGGTCTTCCTGTCTGGTAAGCAGTCCTGGAGCGCAGGTCCCCAGATGCCATGCAGAGGGCCTTCTCAGCAGTGCTGCAGTGCCAGGGAGCCAGGCTGCAGCTGGGGGCTGCTCCAACTCGAAAAGGCAACATAGGTTTTGTAGTGCTGTGGGAAGAGGCTGGATGGAGTCAGCAACCCAGCTCTCTTTACAACAGGGACATGCCAGGCACAGATGCTCTTGAGCTAGCATACAGCAGTATAGTAGGAGGAGGCAAGGACCTGCATTCTGCCTGATTTGGGGGTTTGCTGAGGGAATGTCAGAGCCCAAGGAGAGTTTGTGGGGCTTTCACCACCAAATGGCTCCCAGCATTGGGGGGGGGGGGGGGGGGAGATTGTGCCAGATTGTGGGCAGGACTAAGACCACAGCCTTGCCTCAATGCTTGGACAGCTAGCACAGCTCCTGCTGCATATGCTGTTTCACCTTGTGTTTCTTGCTCTCCTCATCTTTTCTCCCACACCCATGTCCAGGGGCGATTTCAGCTCATGTAGTGCAAGTTGCACCTCTGCAGCAGGGCTGGGCCTCCCAAGAGCCTCCCCAGGAGCACCAGCATGGCAGGGGTTTGGAGACTGGAAAAGCCAGCTTCCCAGTACCAAGCTGGGGCAGGACAGGCAGACATTAACCTGTCCCAAGGCAGGTAGCTCATCCCAACCCCCACAGGGCCATGGGCAGACTTGGATGGGAGTTTTGGCTGAGGATCTTATCCATTGGCAGTGGGATGCGTGCTGGCCAGTATGCACCCAACTTGTACTTTTGGCTGGGCTATGCACTGCCTTAACATGCACAGGGAAAGGCGGGCACCTGGATCCCACAGGATTCCAAACCAACAACAAGCAACCTTCAGGGAGTTCCCAGGCCAGGGACAAAAGCAGTGACACCAAGGGAGCTGGGGTTGGAGAGGACAAGTAGCCAAGGCGGAAACAAAGTGGACTGGAGCTGCAGCAGCCCTGACCAGTTTTGGGGACTGAAGGGACCCAGGCTTAAACCTCCATGGGACCAGTGAGCAGAATTCTGTTCCTGGCTGTCCATGACCCAGGTTTTTCTGCTTGAGATGCAGCCTACATGTAGCCTAAGCCATGTGCCTGGTCCTGCCCACGTGGCCCTTGGGCAGTGGGTTTAAATTCCCTCAGATGCTAGCACTGCTGTGTTTCCCTAACCAGGGATTCATCTGCTCCACCAGCAACAGCAGCACATGGGTGGGGGATTATCTGAAAGGATTTTCTTGAGTTAAACTTAGGAATTTGAAAGGTTTTTCAGGGAATCTGGTGGCTGGGGAAAGCTCTCTTCTGCTGCAATGCTGAGCTCTGCCGAGTTTACTTCAGTGAGGGCTTTGCTTGAGCTAGAACTTGGTGCATTGCTAAAGCCTCAAAGAGCTGCTGAGGGCACCATACCACTGCATGGTAGTGGCAACAGAGCAAAGAACTGCACTGGAAACTCATAAAGGAGCAGAGCAATATAGTGAGCATCAAGTATATGAGATATGAACATTGATCATGTGTCTGATGCATGACAAGTGGGTGGCTTTTCCAGGACTAGTTTATCAAGGAACAAAGCAAGCTATGGGTGTGGAGTCTCATGCATTCCATCCCTGACACATGAAAATTGACTACAAGCCAATTGACAACCTGAGTGAGCGTTCCCTACCTGGCAGTTTGGCAGGGGACTCCCCAAAAGCTGTGATGCCCTCAAGGCTGATCCTTGACACAGAGTGGTCTTACCCACAGCAGATCTTTGGTAAACAGATGGTAATGCATATAACCTCACAGTACAATGACTGTGACCCGTGCCTTGGTAACTTTGACCCTGTCCTGGTCACTGCAGATGATGGGGCAGTCACAGTGAGCCTCAACCTGAACTTGGTCAGTCATTCCTGTACAACACCACATGAATACTGCTCCTGTGGTACCTCAGGAAGTAGGGTTAGACTAGATATTAGCAAAAATCTTCCCTGTGAGAGTGGTGAGGCCCTGGCACTGGCTGCCCAGAGAAGCTGTGGCAGCCCCATCCCTGGAAATGTTCCAGGCCAGGTTGAATGGGGCTTGGAGCAACCTGGGATAGTGGAGGGTGTCCTTGCCCAGGGCAGGGAGTAGAATGCGATGAGCTTAAGGTCGTTTCCCAGCTAAACCGTTCTGCGATTCTCCAAGCGATCTGAACCCTCTGTTCCCCAGACCGGGTCAAGGAAGGAGCACGGCTAGCATACCCTGTCCCCCAAAACAGAGTTCCCCAGCCCAATGAGAAAGGATAGCCCCGAGGTCTGGGACCAACAGCCCCGCCTACGGGAGGAGGCAGCGGAGGCAGCGGATCCAGTGGCTCACGGAGATCGCTCCACCCGCCCCGAAGGACGGCAAGGCCGGGGCCGCTCCTCCGGCACCGCCGGCACGCCGCACCCAGCGGCTCGGCCGCCATGACAAGGCAGCCGGGCTCCACAGCCCGCAGTTAAACGGCACCCACTCCCACCAATCACTGCCCGCTCGGCCCGGCCTTCGCCCCGCCCCGATCGCATCCTCGCCCTTCCATTGGCCTCCGGCGTTGAATTTTAAACCCTGCCGCCCTGCCCCGTAGCAACTGCATCCCTCCGTGAGCGTCGATTGGCCGGTGCCTGGCACCGCCTCGCACTCTGATTGGATCGCTGTGGCCGGCCGCTACCGAACTGCTACTTTCAAAAGCGCCGGGGCTGGAGGTGCGGGGAGAGCAGAACGGGCATGGGTGAGTGGCGAGGGGCACGTTGGTCATGGCTGACTGGAGGGTGGGGGGAACCGAGCGTGGGTGAGTGGGCAGAGGACACTCCGAGCACCGGTGACTGGAGGGACACCCCGGGGATGGAGGAGTGGGCAGTGCTGGGACCCCTAGGCGGTGGCAGGCGGGGCGACCCTGGAGGGTACAAGGGAGCGGAGGCCGCTAAGATCTCCAACTCCCCTAGGGAAATCCGGGGGGTGCAGGGGAGAGAGAAACTTTGGGACTCCCGACTCCCCCAGGGGACCCTGAGAGTCGTAGGGGAGTAGGGATGTCCAAGACCACCGCTCTCCGAGGAAGTGCGAGCCCTTGAAACCTTCTCTGGGATGCAGGAATCTGARAATTGCTTATTCCACCTCCCTCCTCGCCCAGCAGAGTGCTTTTGGTGGTGGTCTTGGGGGTCCACATCCCTTCCTCCCTGGGAGCACCGCCAGCCAGATTTGTCCCTTGCCTGGGCTTGTCTTGGGGCACCACCTGCCATGCTCAGGGAAGGGGTCAGTCCTGCTGTGCTAACCCTCCAGGAGGGACAAATGYCCCCCTGTTCTGCCCCAAGCTGGGAGGGTGTCCCTGGAAGCAGGCTGGCAGCAGTCCCCATCACACCCTCTTTTGCCCCCAGCTTGTTCACAAAGACCAAGGGAGAGGATGCCGTTGCCACGCAATGCCAAGGTGCTGACCACCAAGCAGTCGCGAGCGGGCAAGGTGGGCCCTGCAGCAGAGAATGTTGACCCTGAGAAGGTGAGCACTGAGCCAGGCAAGGGCTGTAGAAGTGCCCCTGTGGGGCAGCTGACCACCATCTTCTAACAGCCTCTATTGCAGGAGGAGAGCTGTCAYGCCAAGAGGTCTTCATCCTCACCCCAGGGCGGGCCCAAGAAGAGATCAGCATTTGGGGACATCACCAATGTGAGTGCTTCTGTGAGGGTGGGGGCTCTGATGCCCCCTGTGAGCTCCCCGTGGTGGAGGGGCTTGTCCCATGCCCATTAAGAGGAGGAGAAGTCTCCCTGCAGGGCATATCTTTCTTTCCACTGTGCAGTCCCTGTATTCCCCTCTTCTGACCCAAACAGGCTCACAAGAACCAGGTGGTTGCAGGGAAGAAGGAGGCTGTGAAAGTTGCTCCACCCAGGGCACAGAAGGCACATAGTGCCTTAGGAGTGGCCAAGAACAATGAGATCAACCTAAAAAAGTGAGTAGCTGGGGGCAGGGGTTTGCTGCAAACTTTTCTCATGAGGACAAGTAGTGGGTCCTTCCCTTRGGTGATGGAGACTGTGCCAGATGGAGGAGGGAAATAGTATATCTACTATAAATGACATCAGGTTGTGCCAGGAGATAGTTAGATTGGATATCAGAAAAAAATTCTTCCCTAAAAGGGCTGTCCAGCCCTGGCACAGACTGCCCAGGACAGCTGTAGAGTCACCTTCCATGAAGGGATTTAAAAGTCGTGTGGATGTGATTCTTGGGAACATGGTTTAGTGAGCATGGCAATGCTGGGGAAACTGTCGTTCTGAATATCTTTAAAGGCCTTTTCCAACCTAAGTGATTCTAAGAATCTGTGAGGGTATTTTAGGGGTTGTTCAGCCCCTTCCTGAAGCAGCRAGAGTCTGGAGGGTCCCTTTCAGCCAAGAAATTTGGCCTCCTCCCAGCAATAATTTATGCTCTTGTCCTTCTCAGGTCAATGAAGAAAACTCCCCCAACAGCTCCTGCAGAGCCCAAAGTGAATCCTGTGCCAGAGAGGCCAGTGTCTGTGCAAGAACCGAAGCCCCCTGAGGAGAGGGTAGGGACCCCAGGCTGCAACATGGYCCCAGGCCCATCACAGCACTAGTTTGGGTGCCACTGGTGGTACTGGGGCACCAGGCAGTGCTCTGGACCTTGGAGAGACTTCAACCAGTGTGATAGAAAGCTGGGGAGGGGGAAAAGTGCACCACCCTCTTCCTTCAAGAATCCTCTCTTGGGAAAGGGTGGGACRGGATTTCAGGGTGATGAGAGCAGGTAGGAAAAGGGGGGTGCAGAAGGGCAGCAGCTTTGCCCYGATGGGGTGACTGGCACCCACAGGGCCTCCCCCTTACTGCTGCCTCTTCCATGCCACCAGGTACCCGCAGTGGAGGACATTGACAAGGAGCAGCTGGGTGACCCTTATGCCAATGCAGAGTATGCCAAGGAGATCTTCGAATATATGCAGGAAAGAGAGGTGGGTGATGCCTGTCCAAGGGGTGGCAGCCCTGTCTGGGGAAGGAGTGACTGAGGGCTACCAACTGCCCAGAGGCTTTGACCGCCTATGACCACCTATCAGGGGCCTGCATAGCATGGGAAGGGGCTTGTTTGAGGGTGGAGATATCTGCCCTGTCTCTGACAGGTGGCTTTTTGGCAGGAAAAATTCATGCTTCCTGACTACATGGAGAAGCAGACAGACATCACTGGGGACATGCGTGCTATCCTTGTGGACTGGATGGTGGAGGTGCAGGTGAGGGGACATGACTTTCTGCAGAGCAGCCCCCCATGCTGCCTTTGGCACATCCAACCCTCTGAGCCTGGCCCAKGGGCACCCCTGGCCTCTGTGAGAGCTGGATAAGGCTGGGCAGGCCTTACTTCTGTGTGACACCCTGTTCTGAACCCCACTCTCATCCTTGCAGGAGAACTTTGAGCTGAACCATGAGACACTCTACCTGGCTGTGAAGTTGGTGGACCACTACCTGGTGGAGGTAGTAAGCATGAGGGAGAAGCTGCAGCTCATCGGCTCCACTGCCATCCTTATTGCCTCCAAATTTGAGGTGACTCTTTGTGTGCTGTCCTGGGRTGCAGGGCAGAGGGGCTGTGTCTCTGGTCCCTGTGGGGTCTTGGAGAAGGCCAGGCCACTGCCCTGAAAAACTGCTGGGGTGGCATGTCTGTCATGTTCCTCCTTCTTGCTGCAAGGGCTGTGAATGCAGTCAGTGGACTGAATCCTGTCTCTTGGTGTCACTGGAGAACCATCTTCTCTCTACTCTGCTGTGACCATCACAGTACCTTGGTTCACCTTACAAAGGCATGGAGTTCAAGCTAAGGGCTGGAGGAGTACAGACATCACACAAGTCCCACAGGATGTTGTTAACAGTCCTTGCTGAGTGCAGCAGCATATGAACCTTTACAGGGCCTGCGGGATGGGTATGATCTCCTGAGTAGGGCCAGGATAAGCCCCCATTGTGGTGCTGAGCAGTTGTACCCCTGCAGGAGCGGTGCCCACCSTGTGTGGATGACTTCCTCTATATCTGCGATGACGCCTACAAACGAGAGGAGCTCATTGCTATGGAGATAAGCATCCTCCAAACCCTCAAGTTCGACATCAACATCCCCATCCCCTACCGCTTCCTGCGGCGCTTTGCCAAGGTGAGTGCACTGGGAGGGTGGGCTGGTATTCAGGTGCCTCTGGGCGCCCCTTGTGTTGGCTCCATGGGATGGGTGACTTGCATCRTTAGGGCTTCAGGCTCTGAGTTGGCAGCAAGGAAAGTTTGTCCAGGTTCCTTCAAGAGGGTTGAGGGGTCAGAATGGTGGTTTGTGATAGGCTGGGGTGTAGGATCCCTGTCCTGTGCCCCAGACACAGCACTCTAGGTCCCAAAAACGCTGGGAAGGTAAGCAGCATTGCTCAAAAGGCTGAGCCTTTCCCTGTCCACTGGCTGTAGTGTGCCCGTGCCACCATGGAGACACTGACGCTGGCCCGTTTCCTCTGTGAGATGACCCTGCAGGAGTACGACTATGCCCGCGAGAGCCCCTCGAAGCTGGCTGCTGGCTGCCTGCTAYTGGCACTTACTATGAAGAACCTTGGGGGCTGGGTGAGTACCTGCCTAATTCCCTGTCCCTGCCGAGGCACCCTAGGAGGCGCTGCAGTGGTATGGGAGGGAACGGACCAGTGAGTAGGGTGATGCTCTAGGGCTATAATCAGATTTGGGGGCTGGACAGGGAAGATGATGTCTGTCCTGTCATTGAGAGGACACAGCTTAGCCCCACTGTCCCCTTGCAGACCCCTACACTGGAGTACTACAGTGGGTACGCTGCCCAGGACCTGCACCCCCTGGTGAAGAGGCTGAATTTCCTGCTTACATACCAGCCCCGCGACAAGCTGAATGCTGTGCGCAGCAAATACTCGCACAGGTGAGTGTCATGGGSCTCTGTCTCAGGCCTGTCCCTACTGCAGGGGGTGACACCACCAGCATGCACTCTGGGGTTCTGCAGGCATCTGGGAGCACTGGTGAATGGGTGTCATGGCTGTGGTTGAGTTCTAAGCCATCATGTTCCTTCCAGGGTCTTCTTCGAGGTTGCCAAAGTCACCCCTATGGACATGCTCAAGCTCGAGGAGGCACTCACTAGCTGCTAGCCCTACTCTGTAAATAAGCCTGTAAATAACGGGTGCCCTTAGGCAGGGTGGTATCATGTACATAGACAACAGTAATTTTAACTGAGGAAGGGGGGGAAAAAAAGTCATATGTAACTGTTAATAAAATATGTTTGTCATACATGCTGGCACTGGAGACTATGAGCCCCAGYGCCATACTTCCCCTTGCTGTGATGGGACAGAGGGTGAGAGCAAGGTGGCGGGTTGCACGATGGGGAGCAGGAAGCTCAGGGGTGAAGGCTGAAAGGTATTCCCAATTCCCTCCTCCCCARCCCTCTCCTTCCCCTTAGAAATGACACCATGCGAGCAGCAGCAGTATCTTCTCTCCAAATATTTACACAGCTTAAATACCCACACGGGGAAGGGGAAACTGCTTTGGCTCCAGCTTGAGCACACAGAGGGTCGCCCCAGCTCCTGTAATGATCCTGAGGGGTTGGACTAGTGGTCAGACCACATTACCTCTGCTTCAGTGACTCCAGCCCCACAGGCTGGGGGAGAAGCAGTGGCTCCAGGGATGCAGGGGACAGACAGATAAAGCGAGGCAAGCGGGGGGCTCCATACATATGGGGCAGGGGCAAAGACCTGTTACCCTACACAACCCCTGTTCCCTGGGGGCAGCACCCACCCAGCGCCTGGGCTGGGCTGCTGCCCTGTTGTCAGCCTAGGACAAGTTGCTGAGCTCCTTAATGGCCTGAAGGATCCTCTTCATGTGACCCACTTTGGTGATTCCCAGGTCCTGCAGGAAAGAGAGGAGGTGATGCACTTGCAGGGGCAGCCCTGGGCTCTTGCTAGTAGACAAGCCAGAGGGTGGAGGATGAGGCACAGCCCAGCTCCCCCTGCTCTCCCTCGCTGGAGCATAGTGCTTGCTTGAAACCCTCTGTCCTCTTGCAAGCACATCTCCATGCCTGAATGCAGGCGAGGGTAGGGTGCTGTCGATACTGCTTTGGGCGGGTGTATGGAGCCTGCAGGACCAAGGCCACCCCTCCCCTGCTTCCCAGCCTCTGTGCACAAGCTGCATAAGCTCAACCCTACAGACCCAGGTGTAGGGCCAACCTGCCACCAGGAGGGATASGGAGGGATGAAAAACACCACGCTCCCCAGGGCTGGCAGTCCCTTAGGAGGCACAAGGGGGTTGTACCTTCAGGTCTCTCCTCTCCAGCAGAATCAACTCTGAGCCCTGGATGTCATGTCGGACAAAAATGTCTCTGTATTCCCCTAAACCGAGAGTTTCCAGCCAAGCTGCCACCTCCTCGGAGCCCCACGTGTCTGCTAGCAGGGAAGAAAACCACAGTGGTGGACTGCTGGGGCCTGTGGAGGTAGCGGGACGCAGCAGGGCTGGCAGCGGTGATGGCAGCCTGAATACCCCTTCCCACCCCTTGCTCCAGCAGGGCCAGAGGCCACAGCCTGCTCAGGCTGCAGAGGTCTCTCTTCTTGGCTTACTTAAGGAACACCTGAGCTGCTCCTGCTTAACCAGAACCCCAGCCCTGGACAAGGCATTTACCCAAACAGCTGACCTGTACCACAGGTCCCTTCTCCCCCTTGTTGAGGAGTTAGGGGACTGGGTTCTCTGCATGTCTGGTATCAGAAAGGGCAAGCTGCAAGGGGCTCTTGGTGACAAAGGTGATACCCCCAGGCAGCCAGGAGATGCCCTGTTCCCCCTCCCTGAGGATCCTTCCCCAGTATGCCTAGGACAGGAGACTGAGGGATAGGACAGCACAGTGGGGCTCCTTCTAGGACAGACTGCACCACCTATCTCCCTGCACACTGCTCATTTTACCTGGGAGCACACTGTTGGCCTTCTGCTTCTGCAGCTTGTCCTTTTCCTTCCTGGGCTTGGGGATGTTGAGGCGAAGCTTAAAGCTGCCTTTGTTGGCACCGCTGGCACCTTCCTGTGAGAAGTGAGGCTCATGGGGTGCTACAGCTCCCTGAAGCTAGACAGTGGGCTATGCCACACCCCAGTCTCTTTGCACCCACCTCCTCGGCAGGGTGAGCAATGGGGCCCAGCCAGTGGATGTCCAGCAGCCGCTGCAACTCCTGGCCTAGCACACTCAGGGGGCCATGAAGTGCCTCCTCCTCCTGTGGTGAGTCCAGCTGTGGGGGACAGGGACAATACCTAACCCTGCTGCTACCCCCAGAAGTAGGGGTTTTGGGTGCTCTCCAGCCCCCCACTCACCCCTTTCCCTTCCAGGAATGCCCTGGTCTCAGCCCACAGCTCCTTGATGCTCAGCACCACCTCCACAGCAACGTTCCTGCTAAGAAACTGGGGTGCACAGAGGGGTAACCCCTCAAGTGGCAAGGCCCCAGAGGGTCTGGGTAAAGGCTACCTTACACTCCCACCCCCAGCTCACCTCTGAGGTGCYGGCAGCTTTGTGGGACAGGGCTTCGCTCAGTGCCAGGGAGCTGGCATTGACTGCGTGCGCCAGCTCCTGCTCCACGGCTTTGTGAGACTTGGCTGCCTCATGGATCCTGCAGGTGACAGGGGCTGGAGCTGCCAGGGCTCCCCTGGACTGGGCAGGCAGCTTTGCAGGGCCACAGCACAGTTCCTCCTTCCCTGTGCCCACCACATTCCCCTTCCCACAGTCTGACCTGGCAATGAGGGTCTCGGCCACCCGTGAGACCTGCTGCAAGAGGCTGCTCTCCTCCTCCGTCAGGTACTCCATGGACTGCTGGGAGCTGAGGCGGGGCCGTGTGGCTGCACGGTAGCCCTCCCCTTTTTGCTTGTCCTCCCAAGACTTGAGGGTGCTTTCAAATGCCTGCAAGGGACAGACACAGCCCCTCTGAGATGGTCATACCTCTCCATGTCCCAACATGGTCGTGCTGAGCACCCCAAGCTCACCCGGTCCCTTGTCAGCATCTGGGCTCTGTTCTTATGCTGGATTTTGATAATGCCAGGTGGCTGGATCCAGGCCTCTCCATCGACCTGCACAGGGACACCCTCGTCCCCCCGGATGGTGATCTTCACCACACGGCACTGTGAGGCAGACAGCCCAGGGCTGGCATCAATGGCTGCCAACCCGAGCAGAGGTGCACTGCCTCAGGCTCCACTGCTGCCCCAAAAGCCTTCTGGCACCACTTGTGGTCCCRCAGGGTGCCTTGCCACTACCTGCGCGATACGGTGGTGCTGGAGGTTGATGACCCGGGACACGGCCATCTGAATGCTGCCGAAGACTGCCACCACCTCCAGCTTCTTGTCATCGAAGGATGGAGCTCCAAAGTTCTGTAGAGGACCACTACATGTGAGACTTCCAAAATGGGCTCATTTTGGAACCCAGCTTTTCTCCCATGTGTGCCCAAGGCAGGGACATCCCAGCCCTCAGGTTTCTTAGGACTGGGGAAAGGACATCATGCCATGCAACTCCTCTCATCGTACGGGCACTCACATTGTCCTCCTTCGTGCCTCCCCAGAAGTTGATACCCCCAGCATAGCTGGGGATGTTGAGAACAGCAATGCCCTGCAGGCTGGGCAGTGAGATGGGCACCCCGTCACACTGCAAGAGAGAGCTGAGCCTGGGGGGCCGCTGCAATGCTGCCCCTCCTGCCATATCCCTGTTCTCCCAGCCCTGTACCTCCAGCTGTACCCGCTGCTCCAGGTTCTTGTAGGTGCGCTGCAGGAGCTCCTTCGTGCCTAGCACCCCATACCACATCATATTCTTGGTGCGGCTGCTGTGGGGTAAAGTGGGACAGATGAGGGGCTGTGGGCTCCCCAGTGCCTGTCACAGGCTCTGCACCCTTCCCAGGGCACTGGGTTGAACAGTCCTGGACTGCTGGCCCCACCTTAGTTTCCCCAGTTCCTGCTGCCTCCCAGGAAAGTGAAAGTGCAGCATGTTGCACCCAGATTTTGAATCTTTCCATGCCAGCATGGCAATGTCCCATGCAGTGGTGCAGAGCAAGTAAATCCCACCCTGCCCTCATGTCTTCACCCTTCCTGGGGTGTTTGTAGCCTGCCACCAAGGGGTGCTTATCCCAGCATTGGGTGCAGGTACAAAACCTGCTGCTGGAAAGAGCCCCAGCACTGTAGTACCAAATGACCCCCATGGTTCCCAGCATCTTGATGGTCCCTCCTCGTGCAGGCATTGGAGAGCCACGGTATATGTTTTTCCTGGGGGGAATCTGGGGTGTTCCAGCCAACCTGCACTTCTTGGGGTGCTCATCACGTTTGTTGTTGAATTCGAGGGAAATCTTCGCATCCAGGCCGATGCCAAAGTAGTTATTCATTACACATTTCTCCGAGAAGTGGCTGAAAGCAGGAAACAGGGTAAGCAGGTTCAGCGGCAGCTGCACATCGGTGACTCTGGATTGGCACCAGAGAATGGGGCGTAACACCCACTGGAGTGGAGTGACTGGCACTGGGAAGCCTGACCAAAGCTAGCAGGGATAGCTGCATTTTTCTCAGCTGCCATAGTGGGACACCCATGGCACAGCCCCAAGCTCCAAGTATCAGTCAGAGATCCCATAACAGGCACAGGCAGGTTCCCCCAGCATGACCACTGCTTGGCCAAGGAGGGCCTGGTACCAGGGATGCCACACCAGTAGGCAGAAGCTGCCTCCTCAAAGATGCAGCTTAGTACTAGCTCTGCTCCTGCTCCACAATGGGCAGCAAGAGTGAGCCAGAGTCCCCAGGATAGGCAGAACACCAGACTCACAGGGTGCTGGGGTCTTCAGGGAATTGCAAGCTGCCAAACGTGTCTGGCCGGTCCAGGATGATGGAGGAAGATGCAGAGGTCACAGTTACTCGCCGGGAGCCTGGCCAGGGTGGAGAGGAAGGTAGCTGCCACATGGTTTTCTGCCCAAGCCCATCCCACAACTCACCCCCATGCCCCCACAAAGAAGCCAGTGCCCCAYTGGCATCTTACTGAGCTTCTCCTCCTCCTTGTTGAGCTCCTCCGAGCTGTCCTTCCTGGGGCCCACACTGCCCTGGTAGGCTTGGGTCTGCTTGTTCTGCTCATCCACAGCTGGATCCAAAGAAGGGCATGACAGGGAGTCTGGGCAGCCCTGGGGCCGTGTGGCCCCTCCCCAGGTCAGCCCTGTGGGCTCGTGCCAGGGTGGGGCCACTGCTGCTATCCCAAGGATCCCAGGGGAGAACAAAGGCACGGGTCCAGCACCCAATGGTGGCTTCACAGACCCTGCCAAGCTGCTGCAGCATCAGGARGCTGCCAGCCCCCACCACTCCCTCACCTTTCTCTGTCTGCTCAATGATTTGCCGCAGGGCTTTCTTCAGGCTGTTCGCCCGCAACATGAGCTGCTCCTTGGATTTGAAGATGCGAGGCATGGAGCTGGGGTTGAAGCTGCCTCCTTTATCCTGGTCCTTGACATCAATGGCCTGTGCCATTTTTTCAGGTATCATGATGGCCTGAGCCTCCTCATTCAGCTCCCGCACCAGTGAGTCCAGCTTCTCATTCAGCATGGCACACTGTGGGACACCGACCTCACTCAGCACCTGGCACAAGCTGCTGCCCCCCACCAGTGCTGGGTGTTTCCAGGACACTATAAGTGCCCAGGTACCCCCAAGCACCTGCATACTCCATGCCTGGGCACCCCAAGCATGGCACACCCCAATACATGCACAACAAGGGCATAGGCCCTCCGAGCAGCCCCTCCCCTGCTCAGGGGCTGTGCCASCAGCTGGACCCAGCCCTCCAGCTCCCCTGTAGCACACCTTCTGTGCCATCAGCTCAGCCTCCTCCTTATTCTCCGTTGCGCTCTTGTAAGCCCGCCCCACTTCAGTCACAAAGTCATTGACAGTGCCACAGAGGAACCTGCCAAGGGAAGTTGCCGGAGGTCAAGAAGAGCAGAGCATGGCCAGCRAGGCACAGATGCCAGGCAGGGGGACTGCTGTGATAACACCCRCTGCTTCAGAGAGGCAGTGCCACAATTATCTGCCAGGCACCAGCACAGCTGGCAGCTGTGGTGGCCAGCTGGGACAGCCTGGCCGAGGTGGGTGCAGTGCCCCTGGGGACATGCCCTAGCTCAGCAAGAGAGCTCTGGCACCCTCCCCAACGACAGCCCCCTCCTTACTTTGCAGAGGAGATCACCACTGAGTGCTTGTCTGACTCCAGGATCTTGGCCAGGTGGAAGGCAACAGAGTCAGCGTAATGGGAGATCTGGGCCTGGGGGTCACAAGGGGAGACTGTTGGAGCCCTGCCATCCTGCCATGAGCCCTGCTTAGGGATGGAGTTTTGCTCAGTAAGCCTTGGACTGCGAATGTCCAGCCCTTATTCAGTCCACTTCCCAGCCCTGAGGGCAACCATGCCCATGCTGCTAGCCAGAGGGGAGGTGAGTCACAGCAGGAGGGAAACTGAGGCAAGGAGCACACAGAAGAGTCCAGAAGAGCTGGCTGGTGGCAGGCCAGCTCTACCTCACTTGCTGCCTGCTCCCAACTGCACATGCCAGGCTGAGACCTGCCATGCTCATTTCACTGCATGCAGCCAGCTGCGAGCCCCCTTGTAGCCTCAATCCCCAGGGACCCCAGCATGACCTCTTCCTGTGCCATCCTTCCCTGTGTGCCCCTGAGTTGGCTGACAAGTTGAACAGAAACCTGCCCTCCAGCCTGCCCTCCCCACCTCAAGCCCTCAAATGCCAACAGCTCCCACCTGGATGCTGGAGTCCCCATTTTCCTCCTCCTTCAGGATTGAGGGGGACTGCTTGGGGGCCTCATACGTCAGCACGCTCCACCTGCCAAGCAGAGACCATGGCTGCTTGCCATCTCCTAGCACAGGGAACTGGTACAGGCTGCCCAAGGGATGCCAAGGCAGAGGGGACAGAGGCACGTATTCCGTGCTCTGCTCACCGGTCCAGCATCTTGGTGGTGGCCCTTTCCAGCTTCTCCAGGATCTGCAGCAGCTGGGTGTCATCGTCGCACAGGCTGCCCCAGCCTAGAACCCGTGCCAGGTCATTGCCAGTCCCCAGGGGCAGGACACCCAGYTGACACTGCAGAAGAGGGACAGAGTGGGGTGGCTCAGAGCAGTCCCCAAGGGCATCTGTGACACCTCCAACCCTGCCATGCCCACTGCTCAGCAGCACCTAGGGGACAGAGAGGGGTCCCAAGCTGGGCTGGGTGCCAGCCTGCACAAGCAATACCAGGTACTCCCCACTCACCTGTTTGTGGAGGCCAAGGGCATCAATCTCAGAGAGCACCCAACCCACGCTGCCATCCCCACCACACACCAGGATTCTGAAGGTGGAGAACTTCTGGAAGAGGCGCAGCCTGGGGTGGGTGGGCAAGGAGAGAAGGGTGCTGTGCCAGGTGCCCCCCAAGATCCCACTCAAAGCAATTCCGGGGTGCTCAGGCTGGTGCTTACCCCAGGTGTGGGCCCCCATTCATGAGGTCAAAGACTTGGGCTGGGTTGAGGAACTGCTTGAACTTTCGCAAAAACTTGACGCCCTGGTTRTCCCCACTCTTGGAGTTAACAAAGGCCAGGAGAGGGCTGGAGCAGGTCGATGGGCAGGTGGCTTTCCAGAAACCTGCAGTGAGCCCAAACACATAAGCCCTGGYTCCCACTCCCCACGGACACTTCAGGAGAGCAGAGGCTATGTGGGTACTCCAACGGTGCTGAGCCCAACCTGTGGGGTGCTGGGGCAGGAGGGGAAGGGATGGGGATGTCCAGGGGATGGTGAGGGACAGAGGGAAGAGGAAGCACTGTGCTTTTAAAGAAATGAGATGGGGAACAAAATGTGCCTAAGGCAGAGGAGGATTGACAGCTGGCCCAGAGCCTGCACGTGCCTCAGGCACAYCTTGGCCATCCTGGTCCCCTGGCTAATGTCTGCAGGCTCCTTCCTTTGGCAGACCCAGCAACACTGCAGCAGGGACCCRCAGCAGGCATCACTGCCATTGGCACCAAGCTCTACAGCCATTGCTCTCAGAGCCCCATGGGCTGCAAGCAGGAGCCCCAGCCACAGAAGGATCACGGGGGCAACATCCCCACAGCCCACGCTCTCATCGCCTAGCCACCACTCCATCTCCACTCCCAGCCCAGCCAAGCAGAACAGATCGGTAATACAAAGCACTGGGAGCTGCTGAGTCAGAGCGTGGGCTGCTATGGAAAAGCTTGCTGACAGCAGTACCCCTATGCTAAAGCAGGACAGCATGGCAGGACAAGGGGAAACTGAGGCATTGCTAAGTTGTACCCAGTTGGGCAGGCAACAGCCACAGCCACAGCCACAGCCACAGCCACAGCTGGCTGGGCTGCTGGAGAGGGACAGGGCAGGGATGCTGCAAGGGATCAGTCACCCAGCAGCCAAGGCTCTGGAGCTGAGGAGCAGCTGCGTGATGGTTACCCTGACAGCATCCCAATGAGTAATGAGAGGCAGATGAGGCACCGGCTGAGCTRAGTGGTGAAAAGCAATAAAGAAACAAAGAAATAAATATCAGGAGGAGAAGAACAGATTTTGCTCAGCGGAGGCCAACTGGGCACCTCAGGAGGAGACAGCTGGGGGCATCCCCCTAGGCTTCACATGGCTTTTCCCTGCAGTGTCCCATATCAGGGCAAAGCTGTGCTCTGCACTACCAAAAAACAGCTGAGCTTCAGACACACTGGGAAATAACGCAAGCAAGAACTTCATCCTGCCTTAAAAGATGCTGAACCGTTGAGGTGCAACAGAGGACAGCCCACCTCAGGGGTGGAGGGCTGGAACCACTGATCCTATCACAGAGGCCGTGGGCCTCTGGACCGTGTCCAGAGCCGCTGCAAGAAGTGGACTGGCAGGAGCAACTGAAGCCACATGTGGGCAAGAAGTGCCATCCCAAAGCCCACAGAACATGACCAAGCCCTGGGACACAGTATAAGACAACAAGCAGCCTTCAACCAAGGGAGGAGTTGACTCAAGCCTGTTGATGGTGGTGCTCCTGCTGTCCCACAAAGCAGCACAAGTCAAATCATGCAGAGGAGCTCAGACAGCTCAGAGCCTCCCCACCACCAGCCCAGCCCTGTGCCTTCCATTACTCACCATCAGAATCAATGCTGTTCAAGGCAGTTGGCGGGATAATGGACACTTTATACTGGCCCAGGGGGCACCTCCTGCCAAGAAGCTCCTTGCAGGCACTGTGAACCTGGGAACACAGGCACACCTGTGTATAAGCAAAGCTGAAGGATGCCACACCAAAGTCCCTGCCATCAGCTGGGATGCCATTAGCTTTCCCAGCGATGCACAGAGGAGGGGCAGTGCTGGCTGTGCTGGGAGAGGGATGGGGACAGGGATGGGTAGATCCTTACAATGGCTTTGCACCACAGACACCGCCAGTCCTGCAGCCTCCGGACACTGCCACAGGTCCGGTCGCAGACAGCGCAACGCGCGCTGACAGGCAAGTTCCCCTCCAGCCACTGGTGGGGCATGGCCACCTGTAGAGAACAGCAGCACCAATGGCATCCTGCATGCTTGAGGGACAACATCATAGGCCAACTCTTTCTCTGGGCACCATGGAGGTGGTGCCACACAGCAGGGCAAGGCAGGTCTGGGACCACTCCCGTGTCCTCTCATCTCTGCCTGCCTGGCCTCYTGAAGCCACCAGCCTGTGAGGCAGGGCAGATGTGACCCCAGAAAAGRGGGTCTGGAGGAGGTCCCACTTGGACAGCAAAAAGGGATCCTGATACAGGGCATCAGAGAAGGTGTCCCCAAGCTCTGCCCCAGCAGAGCCAAGCCCAGAGGCCATACAATGCAGGAGAAAGCTAGACAGCTACGGTTTCTTCCTGCTGAGTTGTGCACAGCGAGGCCAGTTCTGCTGCTGGCTCTGTCCTGCCAGGAGCCCTGACAGGCACTCCCCTGCTTACCCCATCCTCATCTTCGATGATTTCAATGCCGATGGAGGCCAGGGTCGTCCACTTGCAGTTGTTTGTGGCTCTAACAGCACAGCGCTTGTGTGCCTTGAACTTGCAGACTGCACAGGGGGAAGCAGTGAGGAGCAGGGAAGGTTCCCATGGCATGCACAGCCCTTGTCCCAAACCCCTCCGCATCTGGGGATAGCAGGCAGTGGGCATTGCCCTGCACCATTCCTGCTCTGGCCCAGCCTTGAACYCCTGCCCACCTCCCAGCAGGATCCCAGCACTGACCTTCACAGGAGAGGCCATGGGAGGTGACCCCTGGAAGAGCTTCACGACACACATTGCAGAAGGTGGGCCGAGCGTGAGAGCAGGCGTACCAGTTGTGCATGCCCGAGAAGTGTTCCATGTTGAATTGTGTGGTCTGGAGGCACAGCCCTGCCCCATCAGTGCCTGGGACCCTCAGTTGGCACTCCCTCCCTCCTGGCCCCATGAARTCCCCACAGCCCAACTCCTGTCCCCCTTTTGGGGCTGCACCAAGAGCAGCAGTTCTTGCCCAGCAGCCAAAGACACACCGAGGGAAACACACTCCACATGAAAAAATGGATCCACGCAGTCCCCTGCCCACATCACCTCATGGATCTCCCACTTCTGGACAGATTTCAGGGCAGCGATCCAGTCTTCCATCTCCTTCCGGTTCTCAGCACATAAGATGAGTTTCCGGAATGGTGTGATCACCTGCAACAGCCACCATCCCCACGTTCTCTCCCACGGTTACCGCCAGACCAGGCAGAACCCAGCACAGACCCCAGCAATCTCTGCGTGTGCCCCGAGTGTGGTGTGCCACCTCAGCAGCATAAGGCCATGCTATGGGGTGCCTCATGGCTCTGGGGGGATGAGCGAGGTCTGCAGTGACTCCCCACTAGGTGCCGAGGTCTCCACAGGGTGCAGTTGGTAGCCCCACACCTCCCTCACCGTGAAACTGTTGTTGATGTTCTTGGTGCTGGTCTCAGCCACGCTGGCATCAGACAAGTCCACCTCGTCAAAGATGAGGGACTGCRAGGGAGAAACCAAAGCCTCAGTCCACCAGGCAGGGATCTCTATCCCCTCCTGGGGTGGCAGACTCAGGTCCCCACCAACCAAGCATGCTGGAAGCGTCCCCCAGCCTACCTTGGCATCCTTAGCATAATAGAGTGTCCTGCCCCGCAGCTTGAAGTATCGTCTCTTCCACCTCTGGAAGGAGCTCGTCTGCTTCAGCAACAGCCCCTCCTTTACGCTCTTCTGGAGAGACCACAGCATCTTGAGYTCCCGCAGCCCCCCGGGATCACCAAAGCCACCATTTTCCCCTGTGATACCAGTCCCTGGGTCCCCAGGAGCACAGATGGAACATTATGGGGCTCACTCTCTGCTGCATGTAACAGGGCAAATTATGTTCCCTGCCCACCATTGTCTGGGCACTGGGCACTCCCAGTGATCTGGAAGGATGTTGCTGGGCATGGCAGAGCTGGAAGATGCAGGTCTCCAGCAGTGCAGAGCTGCTGATGCTTCCTCTCCATCCCCAGGGCGGTGCCTGGAGAAACTCACTCTGCTGCAGCTCCTCAGAAGCCAAGGGCAGAACTGGGGTCAGGAGAGCTTCCTTTGAAGGGACACCAGTGCTCCAGAAACAACAGGACTGCACTGGGGAGGTGGCATTACCTGGGCACTGTGGGCCCAGCCAGTTTGGGGAACAGACAGTCAGGGTGCAGCCAGCCCTGCCTGGCCCTCCCAGCCCCTGGAGAGGACARCCCGGGGCTGAGGATAGCCTCAGCAGGCAGACCATCCCCTGCAGCACAGCACATCACTGCAACCTTGCTGCCCATCCTCTGCCCTCCCCGAAACACAGCACCTGCCAATATTTACCTCCTCGCAGTGATGTTTACAAGACTCAATTAATTAGTGTTCGTAACACGGCTACAAGCCTGTGCTGAGCGGGATGGCAGAGATGCTCTGGCACTGCCTCATCTTTGATTGTATCTTCTTTAAACACCACCGGCAGCCCTGTTCAGCTGCTCCTCTGCAATTAGCTGCCACAGTGGTTGTATCCGATCCAGGAATGTAATGACRAGCCATATTTAACGGCAAATTAGCACTGGGTACGAGGGCACAGCACGAGAACCACGGCCCCGGGGCTCTGCACTCCGGGCCAACCCATGTGCTGCAAGAGGTGGCACCCAGGTACTTACCAGCCTGTAAACATGCCAGCCCCAGGTATCAGCCTTAATCTACTGCCCCATGGCTCTGAATCAGATGACCAAAGCACTAGGAATAGCAGAAGCCTTCAAAGTCACAAAGAAGCCAAAACCCCACCCGGGGTGCTCCCTGAGGCTAAACTCTCAAAAAACCCACCAGCTTGCAGTTTGAAAAGGACATTTTAAGCCTTTATTGCTGCCCAAGACTAGCACAAAGTTTGGCTGTGATCAATCACCACAATGCCTACAAATGTCAATGCAGGTTCAAATAGCACAGCTGTCCCCAGTGCCAGCACCTCGGAACACACCAAGTCCCTTCCCTGGCCTCTCAGCTGTGAGAGTGCAGAGGAGTCCTTCCAGTGGGGTCCAGCTGTGACTCCCAGATCCACACCAACCATGCACCCTAGAAGTCGTTGTCCCACACCAGGAGGTGTGGACAAGCCAGGTGGAATCCAGCCCCAAACACCACATCCACCAGACCTGGCTGCACTCATCAGGCGCAGGTGCTGTGTTTGCTGCAGTCGTTGCTGTTGCTGCAAAGGACAGGCAGTGTGTGACAGTGAGATGTGGCATGGGGAGCTGTAACAGGGGGGCCCAGGAAAAAAGGAGGACAAGGAGAAGAAGAGGTGGGTCCATGATGGTGCCTCAGAGTTATCACAGCAGGGCCTGGAATCAGCAGAGCATGGAACTGTGCCTGGCTCCAAGCCATGTAGATGGCAGGTTACAGCMAGGACAGCTGCCCAGGAGGGTGGCACTTAACTCCTGCAAAGGAGGGTCAGAGCTGAAACATCCCCAGCAGCAGCTCCTGACAGACAGAAGCAAAAAGGCATCACCCAGCCCCAAGATGTCACAGTCCTGGCCATTCCAGGGACAGGACAGAGCTGCCCTGAAAGAGTCCTCCACCTCCACCACAACACCCATCAGAGTTTGACAACACTTCCAGTACCACAGCTGGGGGGAAGTGTGCCTCAGCTTTCCACCAGTGCAGACTAATCCCTAGTATCCCAACATGGGGCAGCACAATTGGTGCAGAGAAGCTCAGGGGGAACCTGTCCCCATGCCCACCTTTGAGGGCTGCTTTGGGCATCAAAGCCCAAGCCTTCTGCTTTGCCACGTGCAGCATCTTGCTGCACGACTCATGTCAGCAGCTGCCTATCCAGGCTACATCATCCCTGGTGTGTGATGCTATCTGGCACAGGTTCCATTGGTGCCAGCATGGGCCCAGACAACCCCCTCCCTGGGGAAAATAAGGTAGGTCTCCTCTCCAAAATGAGYCCCGGAGCCCAGCTGTCCCACGCTGCCTGGGCAGGCACACAAGTCTGGGGCACTGGAGGGTTGTGTCAGGATCTCACCGCGATGAGCCACCCACCTACCTCATTTTTTGACCATGGGTTTCAGCCAGGAGCACCTGCTCCAGCTGCTGGAGCAGGGAGCAGCTCCCAAGCRGCTCCATGTTTCTGGACCTCTGCTTTTGGAATGAACAACAGGAGACCTGAGAGACACCTGATGGCCAAGGCAGCAGCRGGTCCAGCCACACAGTGGGAAGCCACACTGCAGCAGCATTACTGAGTGAGCCCAACGTTTCCCCTTTGCAAACAGGAAAGGTGGGGAGATGGCAAGAGCAGRCAGGCCATGCCAGGGTGGCACCACCCCTGCTGTGCTGGCTCCCCGAAACCCTGTCCAGGACTCCAGGGTCACCACAATAACATAGTCCCCTATAGTAAGTGGCTATTAGATACCCTGGAGCTCAAAGGAGCTGGAGCTGAGCACCGGCAGCACAGAGACTGCCTCTTCTTCCGGGAGAGCTCTTGGGGACACTGGCAACCCCTGACCACTGGGCTGGGAGCTCTGCACTGGTCACTGGGCAGCTGTAAGCACAGTGTGGCATCCACTCCAAAACAAGCCCAAGCCCCTCCACTCAGCCCAACCACAGCTTTTCTCCCTGGAAAGTCCCAGACAGCACTGGAGGGAGCCTCAGCAAAGCCAGTGCTGGTCCCATCTCAGCAACCGAGGCAGCACACCGAGAGCCACTTACAACATGCCTGGCAATCAGCCAAAGGCCAGCTCCCCTATGGGGCTCAGTCCCAGCACTCCACTGCCCCRTTCCAAGGGCCCTTCCGGCTCTCTCCACCCCAATGGACACAGCACCAGCACTAGGGGGATCCCAGAGGCACAGGGTGGGAAGGCAAAGGCAAGAACGAAACCACACAGCATCTGCAAACATACTACCACCTCCAGCTCAGATGCAGCTGAAGTGGCAGTGGCAGCGGCGTCTCAGAACGGACACAGCTAAAAATGGCCGTGGGAAGATGGCCAGCCATGTGCCCTGCCAGGACCGGGCCGGTTCCCAGAGGCCATCATGCCACAGGCTGGCTGTGTGCTCAACACAAGCAGGGGGCTTGAAGCACAGCCTAGGGGAGCTCAGCACCCTCCAGCCGGAATTCTTCCAGGTTAGACTACAACTGGAAACACCAGCCCTTCCTTCAGCCCTAAACTCAGCCCTAAGGCAGAGCYCCGGGATGCTGCTTTCCTCTGTCACCCCACTCTCCCAGCTCTGCCACCACCACTCCTGGGAAGAGCCCATTGTGCAGCCAGGTCTGACCACAGCTGGGACAGGAAGGTTTTACTGCTGGGATCATCTCAGACAGTGAAAGAGCAGCTGGAGAAGAGTCAGGAAGGTTGTTACTCAGGAATGCTGCCACATCTGGCTGGCGAGCACACTGTCTGCCCACACAGCTGGCCACCCTACACCACTCCTGAAGGGATATACTTGTCCCTGTGACCATACGATGCCTCATCCAGTAGGAGGAGAAGGGAAAGAGAAGAGGATCACCTGTCRACACATCAACCTGCATTGCACCAGCATCATTCCAGGCACTAACCCTCCTGCTTCAAATGCAGCAGTGCACTGGGCACAAGCTGGGGTCCAGTTGMATCAGAGCATATCCCCCAGCTGAGCCAGCAGGCACCAGGACACCGGGGGAGAGCTAACAGCCCTCAAACAGCCCAGCTGCAGGTCTCCAGCAGCTGCTGGGCACCCCGTGGGCTGGAGTCAGTTGGAAACCTTATCAGGCTTTGTGACACAGCAGAGCTTTTCCGGGACTGGGCAGTCGGGGGCTCGGTGCCTGATGAGTGCTATGGCTCCACAGGCTCAGCTGCTCCCTGGGGATGGAGCTTTCTGCCATTGCAGGACTACAATATCCCTTCCCCATGCTGGGGGGATGCTTGAAAGGAGATTCCAGCACAGTCCTGACAAGTCATCACATGGTGCTCATGAGGCCATTGAAAGGGGCAGAGAATTAACAGGAGAGGAATGAGGAAAGGAGCCCCCAGAAAAAAGGCAATCCCCCTACATCTCATCCTTCAGCAGCTGCTTTTTGCAAATGAGGTCATGCTTCCCTATCTAAAGTCACATTGACCCCCAAAGATCCTACTGGAAGGCATCCCACACTAACTCAACCTGTGCTGGTTTCCCCCAGTTCTCCCCCTGCCCCTTGTGCCCCTATGCCAGTGGGCACAGCCCTCCCGCTTTGCCCAGCAGGGGTGGCAAGAGCTGATGGGCAAGAGAGGTATTTGCATAATGGAAAAAGTGAGTAGGGAGAGGGCAGAGAAACCTCACCAACATCCGGCTAGTGACAGTGGGGCTGTCTTCACACCCCAGGCACCAGCCCTAATTAATGAGAGCAAGCCCATCCTCCCTGGTCTTGGACAGTTTTCTTGTCTTGAGGTGCAATTTCCTGTTTTTTCATCTCTGTCCATTGCCAGACATTATCGAGAAGAGCCTGGTTCCCTCTTTGCTGCACCCTCCCTTTCAAAAATTGGGGACCCCTTGSTTACAGACTCTCCTCCAGGCCGAACAGTCCCAGCTCTCCCAGRCTCTCTCTGTATGAGAGACGCTCCAGTGTCCCACCAGTGTCAGGTTTGGAGGATGCATTGCCCAGGAGTCATGGGCAGGAAGGTTTCCAGGCCTGGCCCCAGCACCTCTATACCTTGTTTTCTTTGTCATTTGGCCAGGATTTAGCCCTCAGTGGACAGCCTTCCACATGGCCTGGTGCTACTGCACTGCCTCACCAGGCTCCCCTGAGCTGCCCAATACCCCAATATGCACAGGTACAGCTTATTCCACTATTCCTGGAGCCCCCTGAACCTTCAGGATGCTCAATGCCTGCAGCAAGACAAAGAGTCCTCATTCCTCAGGGTATCAACAACCCCACCGACCTCGCCGAGCCCCATGGGAGGATTCTGATGGGTCCTTCAGCCCCACCAAGCAGCTGTGATGTATCTCAAGACCAGGAATTCCCCTTTCCCCTGCCCACCATGGCCATGCACATTGTATTCACACCATGGGCAACTCTGGATCCCTGGCATGCACCCTGCTGTGCCTCCCTTGATGCCTCCGCCTCCTAGCTCTGGAGGTGCTCCTAGCAATCACCCCAGGACCTGTCATCCACTGAACCAAAGAGTATTGCTAGATCACTCTATGCCTCCACTCAGCTGCCAGGAGAACCTGTGCGGGGGCAACACTGGGAAGTGAACATCCCAGCCAAACAGGCAGGATGTGCCCCGCCAACCCCAGCAATTCCAGTGTGCTGTCGTTCTCCAAAACCAGTGCCCCCTCTGCTCCCTGTTCTTTTGCTGACACAAAGCAGCCCACAGGGTATCCCTAGTCCCAGCCTGGAGAAAGCCAAGCTGCGTGTGTGGAGTGGGGGAACATGACTAATGAGGAGCTTTGAAGAGGGGATGGGTCCACAGGCATTTGGAGTGCAGAAGCACTGGAACTGGGGAGCAGGAATCAGAAGGATGCAGCAGATCCCCATAATGATCATCACCTGCTCCTGTCCCAGGGGCTGGCCAACTGCCTGGCGTGGGACAAGCTGCCCGCTATCAGCACCAGAGACCAGGGTCTCCCCAGTCAGTGTGRATGGGCAGTGGCGTGGGGGTCCTGACCTTTCCCAACCCCATAACATGGGAGGCTCCTACAGGCCCTTTCCAGCACCCCACCCACCACATATGACCAAAAACAGGCTGGTGTGATCCGTCCCCCCAACAGTCTCTGGAGCTGCCACCCTGGCACTGAACTCTCCTGTGTTCATTAGGTACCTGTCCCTTGGGTGTAGGCAAAGGTTCCCTCCCCCCACCCTTGCCCCACATGGGTGACACGGGTGTCAAGATTCCTCAGGAAGGTGCCTGCCATGGCACACACACTGTGGCTGTGGCTGGGGTGACAGGCAGCACATGTTCCATGGCAGGACTATGAGCCAGGGWCAGCCTGACCTGGGTGGCAGCAGCAATCTCATCCCAAAATCCTCTTCTCTGTAGGGAAGGAAGGAGTCCATCCAACAAGGAGCCAGGCAGGCAACCATGGTCCTGACCATCTGTACCAGGGCAAAATCATTCTCAGGAAGAACACTGAACCACAGCACTGAATACACTGAGGTGGCAGAGGAGGCATACAGAGCCCACCCTCAGGTCCTTCCAACTCCAGCCCAGCCAGCCCTTACCCTCTCCCCCATCTCCAYCACCTGCCTGCCCTGGCACACTGCACAGCATCACCTCTTGCATGGCTAATTGCTGATGCCAGGCAGGATGTGCGCAGCAGCCACAGCGGGCAGGGAGACAGCCTTTCCCCACACGCAGCCTGTCAGCGGTGAGGCCAGACATGCTGGTGSTAGAGAGGGGCTTGACCCCCTGGGCTGGGGCTCAGAGCATGTTTGTGTTCCTGTGCTGCTGCTGAGGGACATGAGYATAGCTCAGCCATCTGCCCTTTCCTCTCGGGTGTCCTGGTGTTGATGGGTCCCTGTGATGTCCCAGTGCCCCACAGCATGGCAARTGCTCCATGGCAAACTCCAGTGTCTACCGCTACCCTTCTGGAAGGGTGCTGAGGGCTTGCRCAGAGAACTAAGCATCCCCATGACTCTCCCGCTGCCAACCATGCCTCACCCCCAACACCGTGCACCCAGCATAGCCCTCTACACCCACCTGGCAGCCAACTTGGAGAGGGCAGAATTGGTGCCAGCCTGCTTCAAAGAAGGGGAAACTGAGGCACATTACTTAAGCAGCCAGAGTGACTCAGTGAGAGCCTCCTCAATGTCCCATGCCCCAGAAGTCTCTCATGACAAATCGGAAAACCCCACAGTGCCAAGTTGGGAGCATGCAATTTCCATACCCATGGGCAGGCATCTTCTGCCCCATCTTATCTAGTTGCACCAGGCTTGGGGCAACATCCAAGGCAGAGCCAGTGGGAGGGGAGCCTGTCCCAGGCCCAAGCAACCCCAGAACTACCACCAGACCTAGCACTGCCCCTCTCCCTTCCTTCATGCCCTCAGCAGCCAACACGAGATCCCGGTGATAGCCCCCAGCTTCACAACTGCATTCCCATGCTGTGTTTTCAGAATTCTCCCCTCACCCTAGAGCAGCACAGCCACCAAAACCCCACCAAAGGGTGGCTGGCACCAGAAGCTGACTGCAGGGGGATTTCTGGCAGCCTCTGTGTGCCCAGCACTGCAGGCACTGCTTTGACTTACTCTGCAACCTCCTTCCCGCAGCTGAAATGTGGATGCAAAGGGATTGCACACCTGGCATATCATCAGGAGCATCCTGCCAGCATCGTGTCTGCACCCTCCCTCCCCAAAATGTCTCTCCCCAGCCTCCTTCTCTCTCCACTTCCCACTTGGCCATTCAGCCCTCGTTATTTCTCCCTGCATTGAATTTCTCTGTCCCCACCTGGGACACCTCTGGCAAYGCACTGCTGTTTGGCTAAAGGCACCACACCCCAAATTTTGTAGGTACTATCAAAATAGCATCTTCTGAGTGAACTGTGATACACACACACCAGCTGCTCTCATGCCAGTGGCCGGGAAGTATGAGTGTCACATCTGACCTCAGAGGTGCTCCTATTCATCCAGCAAACCACCACTGGGGACTGTATCTGTGGGAATGAGGCCTGCAGGGAAGCTGGCACAGCCAAATGAATCTGGGGCACTAGGAAAGATGCAGGTTCCATTTTGCAACCCACCAAGCCCTGCACACGCAGTGCCTGCAGCAGGGTGTGGGATCCCTATAGAACTGACATGACCCTAAATCTCAGCCCCAGTAGACCCATGGGGCACTGCCTCCCCAAGAGGGACAGTGAGGGGAACAAATCTGGCATGAAGGCAATGTGGTGAGGGCAGTCTGGATATGGGAGAATTTTATCCCTGAATGGCGGGATAAAATCTGTGCTTCACAACCCCATGGGACCAATGCTAACACTACCACTGTATGGTATGCATGTTTTCATGTCCCCTCCCACAGGGCACAGGGGGCCAGAATCCTCCCAGTTTTGGCTGGATCAAGTCGGCCAGCAGCAAGAACCTGGTACTTATTTACACCCTGGAGAAGGTAAACACCCCTACCCCATTCTCAGCAGTGACCCCATACCCAGCCAGCCCCTCACTCCCAGCATCCCACACCCCTGACCTTGCTTCTCATCTGCCCCGAGGTGGAAACCTTCCGGATGAGCTTGTGGGAATTGTCCTCCTGCTCGCCCTCGCTGTCGGATGACTCCTCACCACCCACCTCGGGTGAGATGGGTGCCAGCTTGTCCGAGTCCAGGGATGACACTGATTCCCGGGTCTTCCTCAACAACAGGTCTCCGGGCACCAGCTTCTCAGCCATCTTCCCACCTGGCTTGGCTCAGAGCTCTGCCTCCTTGTGACAGCCCTGAGAGGACAAGGACACACAGCAGTGGAAGAAGAGCAATGAAAGGGGAGGCATGACACCTCGTACTCTAGAGCTCCACCAACTGGGAGGTGCAGYCCTGGAAACCAAGGGAGATGGAGCTTCCTCGCCCAGGAACACACAGGATGGCATCGTTGCTGGCAAAGTTTTTCTTCCTTGCCTTTTTTTCAGTGTCCCAACTATTCTTCAGCCTACCTGGCATCCCAACGTTGTCCCTGGCTTGGACGCAGGAGACTGTGGCTGCCCCACGCTCGGGCATTGGTACATTGATGCATAGAGGAYGCAACCCCTTCCCACAGCCTGTGCTAGGTCCCCTTGCTGCCCATCTCCGAGGTGCCAGGCTGCTCTGCGTGGCCCGGGACAGCGCAGGGATCTCCATGAAAAAGCAGCAGCTGGACCCCGTCATCCATCTGGCTCCGGCAACGGAGAAAGGATGGAAGCACCTCCCGAGCCCATGGGTCGCCAGCCTCGAGCAGGTGGCTGCGGGTGGGCTGGGATGGAGGAGGGAGCGAGGGGTTCCCGCATGCGGGGAAAGCCATCTCCCCACGGCATCCCTGCCAGCCCCGAGAGCTGTGGAGAGGCTACGGGGGCACCTACCTGGACGAGCAAGCCTGGACGGCTGCAGGGCTGCCGTGCCCGGGCCGTGGGTGGCGGGGGGCACTCCACGGCGCCGTACCGGGCCCCACGCATCTACCGCAGGCAGGCTGCGCCGCGCCCTCCCCCTTCCCCGCGGCTGCCGACAACCGCGGTGCCGTGTCTCCGCGCAGCAACAAGCGTTGCGGGGAGAGGAGACAGGGAGAGCGAGGGCAGCGCTACTGAGCGCCCCCCCCCTCCCTGGGCACACTGCCTCCTCCAGCCTCAGGGCTGCCGGGTGCCGGATCCCCGCCGAGCATCCCGCAGCAYGCCCAGGCGGGTGAAGGCGGAGCGCCCCCCGCCCCGCACACACCTTGCACGATCCGAGCCGCCGCTGCCGCTGGTGCAAGGTCGCTCTTTCTCCGCCCCCGCCCGCCGTCCGCAGCGCCCCCGGCCCCGCCGGGACGTGCCTCCGCAGGCGGCCCCGGCCCTGCCCCTGCCGCAAGCCCCGGCCTGCTCGGCGCGGCGGGCGCTGCTGCGCGGCGCGGGCGGCCCACGCACGGCCCCGAGCATGCGGGCACGGCGGGCACCCGCGCGCCGCCGCGCGCATCCGTGTGCGGCACCCGCGCGGGCACGGGAGAGCACGTGCACACACGTGTGCACTGCCCGCCCACACGGGCACGGCGGGCACACCCAACCGGGGTGTGCACAGCACTGCCACCGACACTCCGGTGCGCGCACTCCTGCGCTCACACAGGCACGGCGGGCACACCCAGCGGGGGTGTGCACAGCACTGCCACCGACACTCCGGTGCGCGCACTCCTGCGCTCACACAGGCATGCACAGCCCCGGCGTGGCCACGCGCGCACACACATACACATCACCATGCACATACGTGTGCACATGCTCACACATGCACGGGCGGACACGGCTCAGGCATGGGCGTGCACTTACACTGCCACCATGCACAAAGAGTGCTTCACTCACATGGGCACATGCGTGGGCATGGGGAAGCATATGCACCACTGCAGTGCACCTGTGTGTGCATCACCCATGTGGGCAGGGCCAGCATATGCACAGGCATCACAGCCACGCATCTGTGTGTACACCATCCTCACAGGCATATGCACAGGCAGGCACATGCAGGGTTTCCATGCCCTTACGTGTGGTCACAGATCATATGCACAAGCCTGCACGCCCCAGGCATGGGAAAGCATATGCACCATGTGCATGCACATAGATGTGCGTGAGCTTGGTTGACCACATGCACTGCCACTGTACACATATTTGTGTGTTCCCCACATGGACAAGCGTGGGTACATGGCTGGCATGGGTGAGCATTCACACTGTRGCCAGATACATTTTTGTGCAGATACCCACATGAACATCGCAGGCACAGGTGAGCATGTGCACCATTGCCATGCAAGCCTATGGGCATATGGCAACACATGGAGGCATGGCAGAGGACACACACAGATGCCTCCACACACTTACTTGTACACACTTTTCCACATGCACGCAAACGTGCTGGCAGTCCAGAAAGCCACCTATGTCCTGAGTGCATCCCCAGCAGCGTAAGCAGCAGGATGAGGAAGGGAGTTTCTCTCCTTCTGCTCTGCTCTGCTCTAGCCAGATGCCCAGAAGTGCTGGCTCCAGCTCTGGGGTCTCCAGCACAAGGAGCTGTTGGAACARGTGCTCTGAAGGATGAAAACCATCTACTATGGACACTGTGAGATGTGGGGTTGTTCAGCCTGGAGAAGACCGGGGAGACCTTAGAGTAGCATTTCAATATCTCAAGGGGGCTCCAAAAGGAGAGTTTTTCACAGGGCATATCAAGACAGAGCATGGAGCAACAGTTATAAAGTGATCTGTGTTGTGGTTGGGTTAGATAGAAAGAGGATATCCTTTATCATGAGAGTGGTGACAYATTAGCACAGGTTGCCCGGAGAAGCTGTGGCTGGCTGGCCCATCTCTAGAAGTGTTCAGTRCCAGGCTGGATAGAGCTTGGAGCAACCTGACATCCCTGGAAAATGTCCCTGCCCATGGCAGGGGGTATGAACAGAATATCCTTCAAAGATCCCTCCCAACCCTAAACCCCTCTGTGATTCTGTGATTCTGTTGCATGCGGATACCCCCAAGAGGTGTGACTGCATAGAAACGCTCAGGAATATGTGTTGGAGAACCCATGTATGCACACATGGAGGTGTACTGCCAAACAGCCTATATCTAGGGTATCTAGGGAGAGAAGGCCTGGCCYCCCTTTCCACCCCAGAGTGTCCCATGGGCCCCTGTGCTCATCTCTCACCTGCTGCTGCTCTGGGCTCTCCATGCTGGCAGAGTCCTGCACCCCCCGCTTCCTGCTGGGACACGCTGTCCCAGCCTACGGACAGGGAGAGCTCTCGTCCCTTCCCAATCCATGGCTTTGCTCCTTGGGCTGTAATGGATAGTGGGACCCGGGGGGGGGGGGGGGGGGGGGGGGGGGGGGGCCGTGCTACTACGGGGTTTGGACTTTTACGCTCCAGGATTCCCCATGTCCCACATGTGGCAGCAGTCTCTCATTAAAGCATCACTATCTGCCACGTCCTCATCCTTCCCCAGCTCAGGTGTRTGGGATATCATGGGACAGATCTGGGATCTGTAAAATGGAGAGATTATCACAATGGGGAGACAGACACCAGGGCCAGGGGCTACTCCACCTTTGTGGGTTCTGTTTGCACCTCTGGGAGACTCAGGACCCTGAATATTATGACRGGCCTGCTAGCCTGCATCTCCTCTGGGATCCCACACAAGGATCCCCAGGACACCCCATACCATGGCCATATCCAGGACTGAGAGCTCAGTACCCAGCAACCTGGCCATACCATCATGCTTTGGGCCAATGGTCCTATATGGCAGCAGCTGGAGCTGCATGGAGGGAAATGGGATTTTGAATGAGTCATGAGACAGTTTCCCTGTGCCTGCAGCTATCCATATGCAAGAGCTTGCACAAGTGGCCCCGTGAACTCACACTTACATACATGTGCACGTCATACAGAGGACAAATTCCCCGTGTTTTCACCTGCATGTGCAGTCACTCGCCACTAGTGCTTGTGACCACCACGGGGCCGTGCCCTTCCCTATGCCCTGCGCATATGTGCTCGCACAAACGGCGCGTGTTCAGCTATGTGAACGTGTGTGCTCACAGGCAYGTGCATGCATTAATCTGTGTAAGTGTTCAGTTGTGCATGCATGTGTCCACTTGTGCGTACCGAGGTGCACGTGCCTGTATCCCCTGCACAGCCACATGCTCGCCCTCGCCCGCACTCACTCGCCCCGTACATTGCGCTCAAACGCACGGACTCACCCTGCACCAGCCCCGGCGCCCCGCCCCCTGTGCACGCGCACGCCGCCGCGCGCCCCCGCACGCGCGCACACCTGCGCCTCCGCACCCACCTGCACGCGCGCAGTCCGCGCGAGGATGGCGCCGCCCAGCGGGGCGCGAGCGCTGCTTGCCCGCATTGCTCTATGCGACCGGCGAGCAGAGGAGTCCCCAGGGAAGCCACTGGGCAGCACCCTGCCGTACCGCAGTGACACCCCGAACAGGCTCAGCAGCACCACGGCAACATCCCCCGAGAACAGCCACCCCCTCCCGTTYTGGGCTGCCCCAAAAACTCTGGTAGCGCCGCTTTGGCAGATTGCCAGGGAAACTGCTACATCCACCACCCAAGTGCTGTGACCCTTACATGCATCCCTGGGGAAGGGTCCAGGCACCGTCCTGTACTCCAGCCTAGGAGCACTGGGTGCAGAGGACACCCTGCCCACAGCTGCACTTCAGGTGTTCCCTGTGCCACAGGGGCATTCAGATCCCAAGAGTTTGCCAAGGCTTGATTCTTCCCGATGGAGCAACTACTCCCTCCTCGCTCTGGYGCCACTTGCTGTGGCATAGGGACAAACCGGAGACACAACTGGACAGACATGCAGTTCTGGCTGCTGCTTTAGTGTGAGACGTACAAAGGCACGCAGCAACATGAAGGCACTGGCAGCTCCTACAGCACAGGATCCCGTGAAGGGCTGCTGAACCCATCATGAGAACAGCATGGCCCCCCACTGGTGCAGTCTTTGGTCCTAGCAATGATCTTGGGGGTAGTTGAGATGAAGAGAATGTTGAGGACCCCACTTCTGCTAGGCACCATCCCATGGTACAACCAGGCAGGTATGGGGTATAGTGTTTAACAGGCTAAGGGTGGCCCYGAGCAGGGGCAGCCCCAAGTGGGGCTGCTGTTGGGGCACGCAGGCAGGCATGGGTGCTGCCTGCACCCTGGGAAAGGGATCGTCCAGCTATGGGGTCACCCCAAAGCACTGTAGGCCCCCTGCCTCCCCAAAACGTTTAGCCCCTGCCCCACGCTCCTGTTGGTTGCATTAAACCCCTGTGCAAAATCAGAATCAAGGCACCTGCCCATTCCATGGAGACAGGTGGACAGTGTGGGGATGACATCTCAGTGCTGTTGCAGCACAGAGGAAGGGACATGTACCCCGTTTTGTCCTTAATGTGGTTTTTCCTCCATTAGTCACTCCTGGTGCTGGGCTAGAAGCTGAAGGTGATGGCTGGATGAGACCCAGTTATCTCCATGCCCACACCACTAGTGACAGAGGGTAGCTGCAGGCCCCAGCGAACTGGTCCCAGAACCCCATGCCCTGGCAGGGCACCATGCCAAGACACAGGTACACCTATTGGCACCCACCTCAGCCCCATGTGGTCCCTCASCCAGCAGGGAGTGGGTTAAGAACCTACTGGCCAGGGCTATTGTTTCTGACACAATGGGGAGGAAGAGGATGCCAGGGCTGAAATTCCTTCAGCTCCCACTGGACAGATGGACAGAGCCAGACAAACAGACATGACAGAGAGCAAGCCTGGTTTAACCCTTTCAAGTGCTGCATGAATATACCCCAGGGTAGCCGAGAGATGTTTAAGGCATGTGGTGCAGCACTGGATACAAGACAGACAGTGGTGTCCAGGACAAGCTGGAGGGACCCCATGGGCACAGAAAGACCCGTGAGGGTGCTGGTAGCATCCATCCATCTGGTCTTGCTGGACCACAGGCTGCTGAGTGGCCACAGAGCACATGACAGATCTGTGGCACAACAGCCCCTGTCAGAACCTGGACTGGCAGCCCCTCCCCTGCTTGGTAAACCAGAAAAATAAATAAAAGGCAGAGGTTGGACAGATGGACAGACACAGGGAGAGCCCACAAGGGGCTGGAACCACTTTGGCAGCAAGCTGGGACCACAGCCAGGATCCCAGAGGGAGGCCGGGTAAGGGGTCTAGCAGCCCTTGGAAGCCTGGCCAAGGCTCTCACGCAGGCACCTGAGCTGCTCCTGGCCCAGTTTGATCTTCTCCTCCAGCTCCCGCTGCTCAGCAATGAGGGCCGACTTCATCTTGACAAAGTGCTGGTAGTCCTGGAGGTGCTCGGCGGGCAGGTACCGTGCCACCATGGCACCCACTGCCTCCTCCCGCCGCCCCACGTGCTCCTTCAGCTCTTTGGCATCCTCCAGCTGTGCCACCAGCAGCTGCTGCTTCTCCCGCAGGGCCAGCTGTGGGCAAGACAGGTGGCATTGGCAGGACATCCTGCACCCCAAAACCTCACGGGCGCAGGTCCCCTGCCCCATGCCCACCTTGTCCTCAGCAGGGGCGTGCGGACCCAGGCTGCCCAGGGCAGTTTCCACCCGGGCCAGGCGCCCCGAGAGGGAAAGCAGGAGGTTGACCACCTTGTCCAGGTCACCCACAAAGAGGCGGTACTTGTCGAACTCCCCTGGGGTGCAGAGGGCTTGCAGGCGGGCAGCCACRTCCTCTCCCAGTGCCCCATTGGCGCTGATGTCTTCCTGCAGCCCACGTTGTGCCTCCTGCAGCACCACCAGCTTGCGGCTCAGGCTCTCAATCAGCTGCAGCTGCCAGAGCAAAGGGGTCAGAGGCAACTGGGGCCATTCCCTATGGGATCATGGGACTGGCACAGAGGTGTAGGGGTGCTGGGGCCCACAGAACACAGGAACCTTGTGGCACCCCTGGTTCCCATGAGCTACTGGCAATCCCCAGTCCCTGCAAGAATCTGTCAATRACTGACTCCATGTGCACCTAAGGGATGCCCCCGGTCCCTGCGGGCATCTGGGAACATCCCAGTCCCAGCACCGAGCATCTGGAGATGATAGTACCCATGAGCATCTGGTGAGACTCCTAASTCCCACAAGCACCTGAAAATGCCCCTGGTCCTTGCAGGCATCTGGCAATGTCCCAGCCCCGTGAGCATATGGCAATGTTCCTGGCCCCCGCAAGCATCCAGCAATGACCACCATGCCCATGTACAGGTGGGTGATGTCCCCAGCTCCCATGAGCAACCAATGATGCCTTAGTCCCCATGAGCATCCAGAAATGCCCCCAGACTCCATGAGCACCTGGCAAGGGCAATGGGGAAGCGCAAGGGCAATGGGGAAGCGCAAGGGCAATGGGGAAGCACAAGGGCATGGCCCCAGCAATGTCTGTACCTTCTTTTCCACCAGCTCGTGGTCCACCTCCTCCTCCTCCTCATCCTCTGAGTTCCCCTCCACTACCTCCGGCAGTGCCTTCACCTTGTTAAGTGGCTCTGCTTTACCCACTGCCACACCGTAGTGCACTGGGAAGGAACTGGCACTCGCAGCACTCCTGGGAGGCGGTGAGATGGGCTCAAAACCTTTGCTGAGGGAGACAGGGGTAAGCACTGGGGGTGTCAGCCTGCCCTTGGCATGGGGCCCAGTGCCGTGCCAGCCCTACCTGTCCTGTGTCAGAGCCTCCAGGTGCCAGTCCTGCTGGAGACACTTCCGCCAGGCCTGCCGCTCCCCTGCCACCAGCAGCTCACCCATCACCTCAGTGGCAGTGCCAGGGCAGGGGGTCAGGCCACTGGCCAGGGAATGGTCCCTGACAGCCACATCCCACAGCAGTTCCTCAGAGTCCTTGCAGCGGGGCTGGGGTTGGCTGCCCTGGCAGCTCACCCCCTCCACTGCCCCAGGACTGGGCTTGAGTGCCTCTGGCAGGGCAGGGCCAGGGCCACAACGCAGGGACAGGGAGCACTCACCCACCCCACGGGGACTGGCACAGCCCTGCTCCTGGTTCTGGATGAGCCTTTGGGGCTGCTCCTCCATCTCCCATGATTGCTTCATCTTCTTCTGCTTCTCCCCAGCCCCTGACACCCTGCCAACACCCACCCCGGGTATGTCAGCTCCCCTGCCCACCCATGGGGAGAGGGACACTCAGGGCTATGGCCATCCCAGGGAAAGAAGTCAGGGACATCCCGCAACACAAAAAAACCCCCCACAGGGTGCTTCAAGGGGTGGATTAGGATGCTCTAACACAGGGTACAAGGGGCCACGTACCCATGAAAGCCCCTCATGTGTCCAGGTTGTGCCTGCAGYCTCACTCCCACCCCCATGCACTTGCCTGCAAATCTCAGCGTTGGCAGCATCAGGCCCAGGAGTCCTGCGGAGTGATCTGCGGGGCTCAGGTCGGCACCAGGAACCTGGTGGAGCAGGGAGGCGTGCAGTGCGCCCCCAGGACTGGCCTTCCTGCTCCCCAGTGAGGCTCTGTGACCGCTCTCTCACTGCCTCAAYAATGCTGCAGATTGGCACCGGGGCAGCAGAGAAGGCAGAGCCATGCCCAGCACCATCTGGTGGGTGTTGGGATGCCCGGCGCTGTTTGTACTTCTCCCAGTTGGGGGGAGGTGGGCGGGGAGGTGGGGGGCACTTCTTTTTGGGGACGCTGGGAGGGTCCAACTTGGCACGGAGAAGTTCCTTCCGGTCATGGCCCCAGGAGCTGGCAGGTTCCAGGTTGAGGTGGCTCTCAGAGAAGGCTCTGCCCCGCAGTGGGCGGTACAGCAGATCTGGGGGGCTCTCAGGGGTGTGGGCCAGGCGGTCACTATCCCACAAGAGGTCATGCGTGGATGTGGCCCGGTAACAGGGTGGCCACTCTGGCTCGTTGCTCTCAAGGCAGGTGTGGAAGGCGCCAAGCCTTGGGAAGCTCAGTGGGTAGCTGGAGAGCTCACTAGGAAGAGAAGGAGTCACCCGTCCTCCCGCACACAGCCACCCATCTGGGCAGTTCAGGCCATTGCATGTTCTGCCTCATTTACCCCAGCTAGTCATTCAGTCGCACTAGTGGGACAAGCCCAGGCTTTCCCGTTGGGTACAGCCCCCTGGAGATGGCCCCAGACCTCTGGGGAAGTGTGAGGAGGGACCACCTTTGCTGTGGACACTTCCTCACACCCCCGTGTGAGGGGCCCTGCATGCCCCCTCCCGCCTCAAAGGGCACCACGCCGAGAATAGCCAAGACAGTATGGGAGGCACTTTGTACATCCCTAATCAAAATCGTGGCGGTCCCCATATTCCCTTGGCACACAGGTCCCCACTGAGTGGCACACACATCCCAGCACCCTGGCACCTGGCATGGGCTTACCTGATGGACTGGCTGACTTTCCTGGTTATTGCGGGTGGTTCCCACTCATTCTGAGGAAATTCCTGTGTGTGGGGGGAGGGAGTGTGAATTCCCCCTCCCCCAGCACCTCTGTCCCATCCCCATTCAGGTGCAGAAGGCATGCAGGAGATCTGCAGGGCCAATGGGGGCACAGTACTCTGCGCCCCAATCCAACATCATGTATCAGGGGTGCAACCGGGTGCCAGTGGTGCTCCCCAGCACAGTCGCACAGGGCGTTACTCACCGGGACGAAAGCTCTCTGGGGGGGCCGGGCATCRCTCTCCTCTCGCCCAGGATGGGGGGCCGGGCAGCAGCAGTCAGGGCAGCGCACCCAGGGCACAGGGTGACAGCAGCAGGTGTGGCCACGGGGCAGTGGTGGTGGGCCCAGGTCCCCTCCACAGTAGCGGCAGGGCTCAGGGCGCAGGGGAACCCCACAGGGGTAGGAGAAGCCCCGCAGGTAATCCAGCTCCCCCGGCCTCCCCAGTGGCTTGTAACAGTGGGGCTGCTCCCGGCAACACTCAGCATAGGGGCCAGTAGAGCCAGGGYGGCTGGGTGATGGGGAGCTGTAGGGCTGGTCCACAGAGAGGCGATGGACATCCCGGTGCTCAGGGCCAGGGGGCTGGAAGGTGCCGCGATCACCTGCTGGTGGCTTGCTGTGCCGGGGTGGTGCCAGTCGGCTGCTCTCCTCAAAGAACCGGCGGCGGTCGGCAAAGGGCATCAGGACCGCCTCATCGCTGCCCCGTGGCGGGGAGCTGCGGGYCACCGGGCCCTGTCTGTAGCCCTCYGAGTCACTGGGGCTGCGTGAGTGCTGTGGCTGCARCTTGCGCTCTGGGGACCAGTGCCAGCGGCCCCTGGCTGTTGGCACTGCCTGCTCAGGGGAGGGGGGCCCTTTGGGGGCTGGCACTGGGTCAGGGGTGGGGATACCCCGGTCTCCAGAGCGGCCAGTGTTCCTGCTGTCCTCACTCGGCACAGGGCTAAGACACTCAGGCCGGGCAGGTGATCCCTCTGCCAGTACAGTCCCCTCGGAGGGCTCCTCAGTCTCCTCCACCGGCTCCTCACCAGGTGGAAGTGCACCAGGACCCCGGCTCTTCTGAAGCTGGGCCTTGCGCCGCTGGATCTCATTGCGCAGGCTAGTAGCAAAGCGGTCGCTGCGGCGGCGCATTTGAGCAGAGCGGTGGGGAGGACCCCCAGACCGCCGGGCCCCTGCCTGGCTCTCTTCCTCCACTGGTCCCTCAGTGCTGAGTGCTGGGCTGGGTCCCTGGCCATCCTGCCCACAGGCTTGCTGCAGTTCAGGGCAGCAGCGGCAGGGAGGTGGGCGGCAGCAAGACTCTGGGCGGTGGGGGGAGTCCTGGGCAGCCCCTGTGGCTCCCCCCTGGCTGCCCTCAGGACACAGAGGGGACAAGGTCCAGCGGTGCCCACTGGGAGCTGGCAAGGCTTGCCCACTGCTGGTGCCCAGCTGGAGGGAGCGGAGCTGGGAGGCCAGCAACTGCTCAGGAGCACTGTGCCGGTGCGACACATGGCCCTTGAGAGGGGACAGCAACGGGTTGTCACCTGCTGTCATGGCATCCGGCACTTGGTGCATGCTGTCATCCAGGTATGGCTGGTTGTCAGACTCCATGCTCTCCCCCAAGAGTGGCTCAGCCGGGCATCGGTCCGGGTGGGAGCTCAGCATGTAATACTGGTCAGCAGAGAGACGGTCCTTTGTGGGGTATGGCGCCAGTGTCCTGCCTACCACTTCCACCTCCCCATCCCGCTGGCAGAGGAAGGTGTCAGAGATCCACCGGCCYTTGGCATGCAGCCTGTCTGCTGACACTGACACCTGGTGCCTGTCCCCTCCACCAGCTGGGGCTGCCCTCAGGCTGTCCCTCCTGACAGGGGGCTGGGGGGGCACAGGTGCCCGCCAGGCTTCAAGGTGCCGGCTGGCAAATGGCTCAGCCCCTGAGGTCAGGTAGCGCCCATCAGAGGCTTTGCAGGGGCCTTGGAGGCTGGAGTCGATGGACACAGCCTCTTCAGGACGGAGAGAGAGGGCACAGTCAGAGGCGATGGAGCTGGCAGAGAAGGAGCTGTAGGCCGAGTCCCGCTTGCTGTGGTACATGCCCTGGTCAGCGGGTGAGGGGTCTCCTTCATAGTAGGCCTGGCCGGGATGGTCCAGGCTCTCCATGCTCCCGATGGAGCTGCTCCGGTCAGTGCTGCAGTGCCAGGACAGTGGGTTCCACTGCAGGGACAGCTTGCTGCTGCCCAGCCCCACCCCAGTGTTACAGGCACCTGCCACCCCCCATCCAGCTTCGCAGAGATCCCAAGGAGCCCACCCCCACACATACACCCTCCCTGGGACAAAAGAGCACAGGGCAGCACAGCCCCAACCCGCCCTTCACCACCGGGTTGGGGGCATCACCAAGGTTCTCTGGCACTGGGAGGGGGAGCAGGCACAGGGAATACAGGGTGTGCGTGACTCCAGCCACTCGAAACCTCCCAGCTCTGGCAGCAGGGGCAGTGGGACTAAGCTCCTGGCCGTCTCCAGCAGAGCCACCACCCCTTCCTGCCGGGAGCTGGGAGTAAACAGCCAAGGGAAAGGGGAGTGCAGTGGCAGGATGAGTGGGGATGCTCAAAAGTGGTGTATGTGAGCAYCTATCCCAACCCCATTGCCACAACCCAAGAGGGTGTCCCATCTACACCCTCCCCTTGCACAGTCTCATAACTGATCCCAGGGTCTCACCTGACATCACACCCYGAGGGCCAGGAGAGGCTGAAGGCATCGGCCGGGCAGTGCATGGTGGGGACGTCAGGGCGGCTTTCAGCAAGTTTGGCCATGTGCCAGGAATGGGGCCGGAGGACGGGCACACTCCTCCTGCCAAGAGCAACAGCGGGAAAGGACAAGAATGGGGAGGAAGCCAGGTCAAGGAACCGGGGCTGAAGTCACTTCCTACGGGGTTTCCTGTCCCCTCCAGGCCAGCGCCCGCCCAAAGGGGACGRCAGCAAGGAGGGTCCAGCCCTGCCAGCACCCAGCACTGGGCAAGGCGATCCCACAGCTCACCCAACTGACCAGGGGTCCCCAGACTGCAGCATCCCTGTTGTCACACCAACAGGGGACCGAGGACATGGCCCCTGCACAGTCCATGGGCAATGCCCATGCCAGGGCAAGTGTCCCAGCCAGGACTGGACTGGCTCCACCAAGGAACACCGGGGCCACATCTGTGTCTCCATCACAAGCCCGACCTTCCCCCTTTTTCCTTTGTCCCTCAGCATCTGCAGCAAGCACCAGCCACATCATGTCTCTGGACAGGCTCCTGTGCTGGTCCCTGTCCCAGCCCTCATGGCATCCATAGCAGTCTCCAGTCCCCCCAGTACATGCCACTGCACAGACGTGGTCAGAAGCCAGCTCCTGTACCTCCCAAGTGCCCAGTGCTGCCATAGCATATGCTGAYTGGATGAGGAGAGAGGCAAGCAGTGGGGTCAGCATAAGGACTTCCCAGAGCCCCCAAACTCACCATGGATGATGCAGAGCCCCAGCCCAGTCCTGTGGGACCCCTGCCCTTTGGCCAGTGCCCTTGYGCGGTCCCTGCCCCTGAGTGCTGCTGGAGCTGGAGTCACTCAGGATGCAGCCAGGGAATGGATGCAGCTGGAGGGGTGGGGAGGAGGAGGACTGCAAGGCCCAGCCCCGCCTCTCCTTCCTTTCCCAGGCAAGCAGGCRGGCAGGAGGCAGGCAGGCAGAAAGGGAGAGGAGCGGCCACATTTGAGGATACCGCCCAGCAAGGGGGTGGCCCGACGCAATGCCCCATGCAATGCCCTGGCTTTGCTGGCTGGGGAACCCCCACCCATGGGGAGTGCTAACAGGAGCAAAGGGGCTGCTCCCCACCCTGTCCCAGCAAGAGGCACTTCCAAGCTGGAGACAAAGGCACCTCTAGGTTCATGTCAGTCCCCCACACAGGTAAAGCCCCACTAGCTCTCCCTGCGTCCCCTCCACAGCACTGCCAACCTGCGAACGATCATCTTCAGAGTTCGGTAGGATCCCTTGATGAGGATCAGAGCTTCCTGGCGGGATCCGTACAATGGTGTCCCACTGATGTTCACCAGCTCATCACCGGGCTGCAGCCGGCGGGATAGTGCAGCCTTGCCCCCATCCTCCACCTGGGTGACAGAGAGGGGCATCAAGGAGGGCACAGGCTCCAGAATATCTCAGGGGATGGTTCCACAGCCACTGGATGTCAGGGAAGAAAGAGGCTTCAGAGAAAGTGCCTGAGCCCCAGGCACCACAGAGGGATCTGCAGGGCCAGGCTCTCCCCCTTCTCTGGTCACATGCATTTCTGAGCAAGGGCATCAGGGAGGGGGGAGAAAGAAAAATGTCCCATCCCAGCAGATTCCCCCGCAGGCACAGGCAGCACAAGGGCCCTTTGTCTGGCGTGGATGCCAGCCCCCTGCCCGCTGCTTCCAACCCCACATCAAGCCTGTCTGGGCACCCACAGTGATTTCAATGCCCAAAGGATGCCATTCCACCCTACGAGCGCCTAGGAGACAATAGTAGGTGAAGTGCTGAGCCCTGGCACATGCCTACCCTCCCTGATACCCCTGGCCAAAATGAACATGYCACCCTGTACTGCTGTGCTTAGAGGAAGCAGAGCCATGGTGCCACTAGCACATGGGACTTTGGCCCATCCCCTCTGACCTAGCTGGGAGGTGCAGCGCAGGCAGCCCTGAGACAACCAGTGCCCAGCCAGGGTAGGCAGAGAGCCCACTACCGGCACTGATCTCTGCCCCTCTTGCCACTGCAATGGCCAGGGATCACCAAGTCCAGACCCTCACACCACAAGGCTGGTAAGTGACCGAAGCTGCTGCTGCGTGGTGGCAGTGGCATAGGGCATGGTGCATGGTGGTGAAGCATGGGGCAGGACATRAGGTGCCCCACTGCCCAGAGTGGATGTGGCAAGACCCTACAGCCACCCACAGGGCAGAGCTTACCTGGCCTCATGCTGGGGCTCCTGCACCCACCCTGTCCATGGGCTCCTCGCCCTGCCCAGTTGCTCCCAGGCCTGGCCAAGGAATGAGCTCTGCTCACAGCACCTGCAGGACCAGCCTGGACAGCAGCCAGGCCCAGTGTCAGGGAGTACACATGGCTTCCTAGCAGACCAATCATGGTGCATGTGTCCCTGGGCACCCCTTTCCAGCCCTAGTGCTGGGCAGGGCTCAGGGGGCATTCCACTACTCCGATACAAAGTGTCACCTTAGGAGGGAGRGAGGCAGGTGCCCAGTGCACCACTATCCCATGGCCCGGCCTGGCACAGCTGGGCCCACCAACTCACCACTGTCCCATTTTTTTCAGGGATCTGAGCACCATAATGCCATGCCCAGGCCAGACATACCTCAATGTGCCTGCCTGTGCAAGCAGGCTGCCCTCCTATCCAGATGTCAGCCCTCCTATCCAGATGTCAGCCCTGCTTTACTGCAGGGGACCCTGGCCGCCTGTGAGGGCTCCCAGTCCCACCATGTAGTCAATGGAACCACCTGGGTTTAACCACTGTCATGCTGCTGCCAGCCACTGGGCACCAGCAGAGCACTGCAAGGCAGGCTGCACCTTCACACCAATTCTCTGTCCAGCCACATGCCCACCCAGTCCTGCCTGCCACGGCCAGGGGGATGAATCAGAGGTGAAGGATGTGCCCACTGCTGCAGGACACCACTAGGTCTGTACCCATGTCTGGGCCATCACATGCACCAGGATGGACAGGCTCAGCCCTGGCATTGCTCACCAGGAGCTAAATCTGGCACAAACAGCCCCTTGTTCTGCCTCTGCTACCAGTGAACTCAGCACTGGCAGCCAAACCCCACYGCCTGCTGCCCTGCCTGGCTGGGCCAGCCAGGGACACTTCCCCAACACCATCCCTGGAGTTCACCCTGTGCCCTAATAGTGGGCACCAGATGGCTCGCGTGACKGTCTGTCTCAGGAGACATTTGTCTTAGGAGTCACAACCAGAGCAGTGGCAGAGCTGTGCCCACCCTGCCCCACACCAACCTCCCTCCTTGCCCCCGACATGCTTGGGGGAGCCTGTGCCGGAGGGCGTTCGCAGTCCCATGAAAGGCTTAGAGCACATMTGAGCACTGCTGTGAGACTCTGCCACAGGAAGGGATCCCGCCCGGAGTGGGCTCAGAAGCCAAACTGTGTCACCGAGTGCGAGGACGCCCTTCCCCTTTCCGGCCCGGGCCCCCCGCGCGGCAAGCGAGGGCCGCCCCCCCTCCGCATACACCTCGGCCAGCCGCAGCGGCGGAGCGGTGGCCCCGGMGGACCCTCCCCTGAATGCACAGAGCGCTGAAACAAGCCCCCTTTGTCTGCCGAGSACACGCGGTGGCGGCGTTTGGGGGAGCGCAGGGGCAGACACCCTGCGGCACGCAAGCCATCCCCCTTCTCAAAAGTGGAGGGGAAAATTCCCGGGCCCTCCCATCCCCTCCTCCGGCAACCGGCGGTCCCACAAGGACTCACCACCCGGAGGGCCGGCAGCGAGTCGGGACGCGGGCAGTTATCCCCTCGGCGCCCGCTTCCCCACCCCCTGGCGGTGCCACCTCAGGGCGCAGGACTGGGACCGGAGCCACTTTTCCAGCTCCCCCAGCCAGACCGCGCTGCCCGCGTCCCGCCGAGGGCGTGGAACGGCCCAGGGGCGCAGTCGGCCCGGCTCGAGGCAGGGAACAGCGCCGGGGCCGCAAGCCCGGGCCACCGCACCCCGGATCAGCAGGACGGTGACACCGGGCGGGCAGGCGGCCAAATCGCCCGGCGATAGGCACTCGTCCGGGCTCCGTGGAGGGGCGGGTATCGGGGTTCCCCTGGCCGCTGCCCGGCTCCCAGTGGGTCTCACCGCGAGTCTCCCCGCAGGACGATGCTTTGGCGGGGGCCTCGGAAATCGGTGACCCTGTGCGTGGTAAGACGTCGGGGCCGTAGGGGTCACTCTCAGCCCTCACTCCCGGCCGCGGCCGGGCCCCGCTCGGCACCGCAACCGGACGCCAACCCCGTCCCGACCATGGTCCAGCCCCTGCGTTCCAGGGGTGCCGGGGCATGACGGGACGGACTCTGGTTTCCCCACCGTGGCCCTCAATGTCCCCGCAGAGCCCTCCTGGGGCGCCTATGGGCGCAGTACCGATGGACGGGCATACGAAAGGGTGCTGATCTCCCCCAGCTACGGCCCGCGGGACGCGACAGGGAAAGACGTGAGGGGGAATGTGGGGGCAGTCCCCGACGCCAGCCCAACGGATGTGCCAGAGGAATTTCTTCCTGCCGCCGAGCCCGGGCTGCCCCTCCGCCCGTCTCGCTCCCACTCTTCCCCGCGGCTCTAAGTGGCGGGTCGCGGGGGTCGTGGGTGCGAGTGGCCACCCCCACCCYGCCGCACCAGGACACGCGACGCCGCGGCCGAGGCTCCACGCACTCCCGACGCCGCCGCGCCCTGCGTSTGTCCTCCCATCTCCCGCACCCAGCCAGAGGGAGGCCCCTCGCGGGGGGATGCTAGAGAGCCCACGCGGGACTATGCCGGCGGTGCCTACCTTGGAGACGATGAGGGGCTCGCCGTGCTCTAGCCCGCCGCGCAGCGTGAAGCCCCAGGGCGCGCCCCCCTGCAGCTGCACATGGACGTACTGGAGGGCGCCGGACCGGCCCTCGGCCCGCTCCATGGCGGCTACAGCTACAGCCCCATCCCGGCCCGGCCCCGAGCCGTGGAGGAAATTACACCCCCGCCCGCCCGGGCTGAGCGGCGCGGGGCGAGTGCGGGGCGGGGCCGGCCCGCACCGGGACTGCTCCACCGCCGCCAATGAGGCGCGGGGGGACGGCGGTGGCCGTCACGGCTCGGCATGGTGTGGTATGGCTTGGCATTGCCATGGCACAACTCTGGCATGGCATGGTATGGCACAGCTTGACTCAGAACAACTCATGGCATGGCTCTGCACACAATGGCACAACACAACACCTTTCTACTCAGTGGCTTATCATGCCATCCTTTAGCCCAGGAACCTGAAGTGAGCTGCTTGGCTCAGCTTGGTACAGCTCAGCTGGCATATTTCAATTCAGCTTGGTACAGCTCAGCCCAGCATGGCATGATTTGGAAGGCTGTCACACTTCAGTGCAACATGACACAGCACAGCACAGCTCAGCTCAGTGTGGGATGGCGGGGGGCCAGCATGGGTTAACTGGCCCAGCATGGCTCAGCCTGGCATGGCTCGGTGCAGTTCRGCTGGGTTGGCACATTCTGGCTTGGTTTAGCTCAGATCAGCACAACAAAGGGCTGGCACAGTTCAGTTTGGTGCCATGCAAAACAACCAGGGGCCTCACCTGGCTTAGCTCCACTTGGACTGGCCCAGTTTTGCTCAGTGTMGTTCAGCTTGGTTGACTTGGACAAACAGGGCTGGCACAGTTCAGCTCAGCACAGCCTGGCCTGGCTTGACTTAGTTTGGCCAGGCACAGTTCAGCTCAGAGTGACCCAGTTTGGTCCAGCACAATATGGTGCCTCAACGRACCCATAGCATCAGGGCCAGCTCGGCACAGCTTAGCCTGGCACGGCAGCAGCTTGACAGTGCTCATGCGGGTGTGAGGGGGTGACAGTAGGGTGATGCAGCCCCCCTGGCACCCCACCCCGCAGTCACACGGGCGCCCTGAGCTCCACTGCCTGCAGGCCAGCACATGCTGCCAGCTCCTGTCTGACCTGCCATCCCAGCCCCCACCCTGTGCCTATCCTGCCGGSCACCTCAGGGCATGTGTGGCAGTTTGGCCGTTCTTCACCTTTGTCTTTTCCCTGCCTAGCCCAAGAGGGACAGCTGTACCATTTGGGGGAAATTGAGGCAGGCAGAGGAGGCCGCAGGAGCCGGGAATGGTGGGAGTGGATCAGCACAGATTCCCCGGGGGAGKCTGAGTCCTGCTCCTCCCCTTCCCGCCTGAGGCCATGACTCTTACTCATCCAGGCACAGCCGGCCTGGAAAGCTGCGCTGTGTAAGCAACGCCTGCGGCCCCTGGTTGCCTGTCACGGGCCCAGGAGGGTGGGCTTGCAGTGCCAGGCTGGCAAGCCACCCTAGGCTTGTTCATTCCCAGTGCTGGAAGGGTCTCTCAAGTGTTTCTTGGTAGTCTCTGTTCACAAGCACCTGCTTTGAACTCTGCCCTCACCTTGCCCAGACCAGCTGCAGGCAGCCCAGTACATGTGCCCCAT